CTCGATCCTCCCTCCCCCCTCCTCCCATGTCTCCTCTTTCTCCCCCCTTCGCAGCCACCACCGGAAGTACTGAGACCCTCCCTGAAGGCAATTCGAGTAGAGCCCAGCCGCTGCAATCTGTTTCTGGGAGATGTAGAGTTTGTTTCTCGGGATCGTGGGACCCACCAGAGGCTCAACCCAAGCGAAGGCCCCGAGGCAAATGTGAAGGCAAGGGTAGACGACAATCGAACTATTTCTAGACGCTTCGCGTAACCCCATCAGCCCAGTGCAGCCGCAGCCTGATCAGCCATGGTAGGTAGGCAGTTCGGCCCTCGGCCGGTAGCCCGCGCCCGCCGCGTGCTTTCGCTGTAAATTAGTAGGTGCCGCAACCCGGACTTACATGGACGGCGCCTGCGCTCTCGCTTGCGCCCGCGACCAAAAAGTAACCCCACCAGCCCATCCAGAAACGATGCCCAGAGGAATTGCCTCGATCAGGGAAGTGGGCAGCACACAGAGGAAGGGTCCCCCAATGGAGGCTTCTTGGAGCGTCTTGGGTGCCTCGGAGAGTTTCTTGGGGCCTCTTGGGGGTCTCTTGGGGGCATTTTGGAGGTCTCTTGGGCGCCTGTTGGGGCCTCCTGGGCGCCTCTTGGAGCCCTCTTGAAGCGCTCTTGAGAGCCTTGGGAGCGCGCTCTTGGGGCCATCTTGGGGGACATCGATCAAACAAGAATCGAGCATTAGTTAGCGTTGCCCCTCGGGAGCCCGAACAATCGCCTCTTGGGGCGCTCTGGGGGCGCTCTTGGAGCGCTCTTAGGCGCTCTTGGGGCCGTCTTGGGGCTCTCTGGAGCCTCTCTTGGAGCCCTCTTGGGCCATCCTGGAGCCATCTTGAGGCTTCGGATGGCCATCGGAAGCGAAAAGGCGAGAAAGCCAAACACAGAATTTCCTACGGTTTTGGCCTCTTCGGGGCCTCCTGGGGGCGCTCTTTGGCCACTGGGAGCCGTCTTGGAACGGTCTTGGGGCATCTTGGAGCATCGTGGGAGCCAGTATGAGACATATTTGGATATATTGAGCCATCTTGGAGGTCATCTTGGGCTCTCCCAGGCGCTCTTGGAGTCATTTTAATCAGTGCCCCCCCCCAAGAGGCCAGCATGTGGCTAAAACCTTGGTGAAACCAAGGATTTGGCATTCTCGACGGCCGAGGCCTCTTGGAGTATCTCGGGTGCCTCTGGGGGGTCTCTGGGGGCCTGTTGGGGGTCTGTTGGGAGCCTCGTGGGGGCATCCTGGGGGCCTCTTGGGGCTTCCTGGCCACCTCTTGGGGCCTTCTTGGGGCACCCTTGGGAGCCATGGGGGCAGTCGTTGGGCCATCCTGGGCGAGATCGATCACATGAGGGGGGGTCCCTAATCAGGGTCTCCCCCTCAGGAGGCCAAAATGGGGCCAACACCCTAGCAAAACCAATGATGCTGGCTTCCTCGCCGAGGCCGTTTTGGACGCTCTGACGACTCGCGGAAAACCGTGTCCAGGTCCATGGGGAGGGGGTAGGGGGGAGGGGTAAAGCCCTCCCCGAAGGGGAAGAAGGAGGGGTGGAAGAGGAAACTCCCTAAACCACTGACGCCCAGAGGGCTAGTGGGATTCAGTTTTGATGTGTGACTTCTCTCCTCCTCTCTCTCTGCCCCCTCGGGCCTCCGTGTTGTGCCTCTGTGGTGTTGTGGTGTGCCTCGGTGGTGGCTTCTTCTCCTTCCTCCCTCTCCGTGGGTGTCGTGCTGAGATGAGTTTCTTCTCACGCTTTGTGGTCAGTGTCGAATGGCACTATGCGGGATGATTGCGTTAAGCATCTCGGTATTAACGTTATTCAGGGTATCCCCATGACTGAATAGCTAGTCGTGGCGGGGGTACCAAATTTTCCCCAATCAGAGCTTGCCTCTGTAGGGTCCTAGCGGATTTATATGGTTAGGTGAGGTGCGGCGCCGGTTTGGTGGCCGGCGGCTGGGTGCCCGGGTGCCCGGGTGCCCGGGTGCCCGTGGGTGCCTTGTGTCCCAGGATTTCGGTGGCCGGGTGCCCGGGTGCCCGGGTGCTCGTGGGTGCCTGGGTGCCCGGGTGCTCGGGAGTGCCCGGAGCTGCCCACAGGGGTGCCCGGGTACTTTATAGCCATGTAGCCCACAGCGTTATAGCTCTACAGCCCAATAGCCCAATAGCCCAACAGCACATATAGCCCATGTGGCCTTATAGCCCAGTAGCCCTGTAGCCTTATAGCCCTATAGCCATGTAGTCCTATAGCCTCTTCAGCCCCATAGCCCAATAGCCCTAAAACACTATACCCCCAAAGCCATACAGCCCCATAGCCCCATAGCCCTATAGCCCTGTAGTCCTATAGCCCCATAGCCCCAACAAAAACCGGATTGGGTTTTTTTCTCTGGTATCATTGAATCGTGTTCGAGAATTTTCCACTCTTGATGCGCACAGCGGTCGACGTGCAAGCTACCGTGCAGATGCAGCAGGGACCACAGTCTGATAGCCAGCCAGCCAGCCTCCTCATTCTCCCCCCTTTCCCAGGTCAGGGTGGAAGGGGGGGGAGGAGTTGGGGGGAGGATGGGGAAGGTACAATGGAGAACCACGAGGAATCCCCACAATGGAAGCCAGTAAGAAACCCGCACAACTCAGACCAAACAGAAATCTGTACGCTTAGAAAACGCAAGAGCCCCACAACCTCAAACAGCATCAACAATACGAGACAGGAGTAGGTCTTACAATCAAGCATATACGAAACCAGTACACTTAAAACAATTAGCAACCCAGTCACTCAACACCCATCATAACCCAGGACGCTTGGAACACAATTTGCAACCCATACGCTTGAAAGACCTACTAAAAGAAACCATTGCATCTAAAAACAATGAGATGACGTCTTGAGTCCACGAACCCTGTCAGATTACCAACCAAAACCATGCGAGGGTGCCACACGCAAAACATGAACCAATGATTTTCTGACCTTCGGGCTGCGTGGACAGATCTGGTCGGGAGAGGCCTGTACGAAGGTTGCCTTGCCCTTTTCAATTGCAAGGATTTCAGATTCATTGTGATTCGATTGATTTCTGATTGTTGTTGATTGAACGGATTTCTTACTCAATTGAAGTGCACGGATCTTTAATGATTTCAAGTGTAGAGTCTAGGCTTCTTCTCAGAGGAGAGGGGAGATGAGGAGACGAAGGAGGAGCACGAGGATGAACATGTGGAGGAGGAAAAAGAGGAGGAGAAGAGGAGGACGAGGAGGAAACGTATAACAAGGATCATGATGTTGATGATGACGATGTTGATGATGATGAGGATGATGATGATGATGATGACGATGATGATGATGCTAATGATGATAATGATGATGATGATGGTGATGAGGATGTCCATGATTAGGATGGCTATGGTGATGAGGGTGGTGGTGACTAATTAGGATGCTCACGAGATCCTTACGCCACATCGTCTTACATCTCACCTTTGTACGGGGAGGGGTCAATCACATACAGGGCAAATGTGCCCGAGTCTGAAGTAAAGCTCGGAGTCACGACGATTTTGAGCGAGGTTAGACTCTCACCACCCCCATCCTCGCTTCCCTGCGCGAGCCGTGCGTGTGCCCTGCAGCATGCCCGCCGCCACATCAAGGGGGTCGAGAGTGAGGCCGCGTCTCCTGCCCTGCGCAACCCTTTTTGCGCCCCTCGCTTTGGCGCCGCCCTTGCTGCCTGCCGCTCCGCCTGCGAGACTTCTCGTGCGGCCACTGAAAAACAAAGGAGGGAGGAGGAGGAGGAGGAGGAGGAGGAGGAGGAGGAGGAGGAGGAGGAGGAGGAGGAGGGTCAGGAGTGGGAGCCGACGCCCTTCTATCGTTGCCTCCCCCTCCCCCCAGTCGGGCGCCGTCCTCCCCGCCGCCGCCGCCGAGGACGACGCGGCGGCGGCGCCGGGCTCCGCGGCACCGAGCCTGAGCGCGGCCGCCGCGCCGCCGCGGCCGGCGCCGGCGAAGGCGGCGACGGGAAGGGGGCGGCAAGCAGTGGCGAAGCTGGAGGAGGAGGACGAGGAATAGGGGGGGGAAGAAGAGGAGGAGGGAGGAGGAGGAGGACGAGGAATAGGGGGGGGAAGAAGAGGAGGAGGGATGAGGAGGAGGAGGAGGAGGAGGAGGAGGAGGAGGAGGAGTCCTGGCTCGCCTATAGTCCCACCAAACAATGTTCTAAGAGCCTTTTTGTGGTTTCCACGAAGTGTTCTCAGAACACTTCTGGCGGAGGCTGCCTTGTTTTACCACATGGGGTGTATGTACCAAGAACATCGCTTTTGTTCTTAGAACATTTTTGGGTTTCTAAGAACATTTCGTGGTAGGACTATAGGAATGCCGGGATGGTCGGTCCCTGCTCAAGGGCGGCGGCCTCGGGGCGGGGCATTCTGAGCCTCCGGAGTGCAGCAGTGGTGTCGACTAGACGTAAGAGTGACCTTTCGCCGGAGTGACCTTTGGTGCGGGCACTGATGGGCCCCCAGGTGGCTGAAAACGAGGCAGGAGCAGCGGCTTGCGCGCCCAGGTTTGGTCCCCCCGCGGCCACAATAAAAAAAACCGCACACCAAAGGTCACTCTTACCCAGGGTCACTCTTACGTGTAGGCGAGCGGGGCGTTCCTGAGCCTCCAGAGTGAAGCAGGGGCGAGGCGTCCTGGCTCGCCTTGTAGGCCCACCTGGGAATGTGCCAAGGAGCGTTTGCGGTCTGCTCGAGATGTTCTCAGGACGTTTCTGGCCGAGAAATTTTTTTCCATAAATGAACATCGGGCTTATGTTCTGAAGCCCTGGGTTTTGGTTATGAGAGCATTTTGGGGTTCAAAGAACCTGTCGTGGTGGGCCTACAGGAGTGCCGGGGCGGTCGGTCCCTGCTCAACTGAGGTCCTGGCGCCGCCATGTCATTCTCGGGGTCGTGAAAGGGCCCCACCTGGCCATTAAAAATGGGCCTAGGGCGCAAGCCTACTCCTGGGGAAACGGGCCTCAACGGAACCGAGCGCGCCGCAATGAACGACGAGGACGAGACGAAAATGAACTTGCCGAACCACACTTGCGTGGAGTTCGGGTCCCGAAATTCATGGTGGCCAAACCGGTCCTACGGCCTGGCGGTGATGTTCAACGCGGAGATGAAGGGCACTCTGCAGCAGATCTCGTTCCCACCAAGGCCAAGGGGCATCGAAGGGCGGATCGCCATGAATAAATTTCGCATTGGGGCACGTACGGTGGCTTTATTTCCTTTCCCTGATTACCTGCCGCCCAAGAGCACTACGCCGTCACTGTTGAGAGAGGCGGCCGATAAATGCACGACATGGTTCACCGAGTCAGGTGACAAGCTTGGACATCAATGTTTCAGTATCATGAAAGGAGATCTGGACGGCTCACTCAGCATCCACAGAGACGCCACTGGGAGCAAGTACTATCGAGCTGATCGTGCAGTTGGGATAAGAAAACCCAGGGATGGAAATAGCAGCTCCACAGCGCGTTCGAGACGCGATCGAGGAGAATCACTTGATTTTTGCAAGAAGGTTTTGGGATACGGGGCCAACATATGTCAGCGGCGCCGCTAATAACAAGATCGACCGTTACATCGTGCCCACCGAATCCAAGCAGCGCTTCATCACCATCAAGACGCATCGAGTGCCCGGACGGCGACTGCAACGGCGCGAAACTACCCTGTCGCAGGACTTTGTCCCAATGTACGATGAGGGTGAGGAGTACAAGGGGGAGTACCTGTGCATGCACGAGCTGTACGACGGCACAGCTTTCGGAGCCACGTTTCCGACTATGAAGGCACCCAATGCGCATGTCACGTTTGCACATCAGCCTCGCAACGAGCACTCACTAGCCGTTCGTACAAAAATGTGTCCATGGTGTATGACTACATCTGCGAGCATGGCATCATGCATTCGGCACGTGTGGACCGCGGCAAGCAAGACACCAAGAAAGTGCCCTACTCGATCGGTTTCGTTTGATTCTTCGCCCGAGCGTGATCCATATTACACGTGTGGACATTGCGGCCTCATCCATGGCGGGCTCGGTCTGGGGCGTCTACCTGATTCCACAGAACGAGGCGACGGAGCAGAGCACGGAGTTGTATTACTTAGTTACTGGGACATGTCGCCCACGGCTGTCGAGCTACAGCTGCAACGTCTTCGATGGATCAGCACAATCGTCAGGGATCCTGGGAACCACGAGCAGGCCAGCACGGACGTGTTCGGCTCGACTTGTCTGGATGAATGCTGCAAGCGCCGCCGTTTCGACAACACTGGCAGAGTATATGAGCACAGCACTCCCTGGGCAAAGCAGTGGTTAGGCGATCTGAGCGCACTGGCAAAGGTAGCACAGCGCTACAGCTACTTCCACTAGGAGGTATACGGGCACAGGCCATACTTAGACTGCACGACTGGACGGCACGACATACCGCACATCACCGAGTTATTCAAAGACACGAAGGCGGCATCGGTTCTGAAGAAATTTAAAACGGACAAGCCTATGATGCGCACGCGGCTAGAGCAGGCATGTGCCGATGAACGAAGAGCACGAGGATACACAATACACGATGAGGGTGAGGAGAACGAGGTGGGCACATCCTACGCGGAAAAGGTCAAAGCAGGCGAGAAGGACTTGAGCAGCCCGCATACATATCATGGTCGCCATATTCGGGGGCCTAGCGCAACTGGGTTTGCCGAGCCCATCGAAAGAGATCCTCGAGGGTTTCGTCATATTGGAGAACAAGATGTCACGCCTGCACATGGGGGACCTCATCCCATACAAGCGAGCCAAGGCCGCCTACGCCCAGAAGGACCAGCTAAACAGTTTCATGAATTGCATGAAAGCACTCCACCTTCCGAACACAAGGTTTTTCTCAGAGCCGCCATAGAGAACGCCACCATTCACGTGAATAGTATCGATGGGGAGACTGATTTTCGAGCCGATCGGGGGACCGCCATGGGCTACTCATTAGCGGCTGCAGATTTCGTGGTCGTTTTTACTCCAGGTATTGAAACATGGTGCGACAAACTCCGTCAGGGAGACTTTAGCCAAGGTGCAGATAATGCGTGAAGCTACTTTGCTTGCCGCCGTTTGACACGCAGATCCATTGGCTTCAGCAGTTTCTCTCAGTAAATGACTACCAATACATCTCTCATCAGTTACGCGGAGGGCACAGACTACAGCATACTAATCCTTTTCCTTGCCTTCATGTGTCAGATGTCCCACAACCACGGACTCAAATTGGGAGTGGTAATGGGATCTGAGTTACATCGAGCTCTACCCATCAAGATCGAGTTCTGCTTTCACTGCCATGGCGAAGTGGCAGCCACGACAACTACGGCAAGGATTCTTGCATTATGAGACTCTTGAGCGCGGTGGCACTGGCACTATAGAATTGCAGCATCACGTTCAATGTTTCACACGCGCATGCATGTCGTGTAGCACGGCGCAGTGAGCACGCGATGCGCATACTTGTATACAGAGTGTGCCCTGAGCGTCCACTAAGCATGTAACTACATATATAGTTGCAGGTAGGGAGGATTGAGCCTAGAGTTTCGCCCTCTCGTTTTGCTCGAATTAGGAGGATGGAGACGGCCTGGGGCCGACGAGGGGCCCAAGGCTACATAGGCCCTCACGGGCTCCCTCTGGTGTCCTTCCGCCTCGCCTAATGACAGAACCAGCAGCAACTCAGGACGCTGACAGGCGCCCAAATTTGCTAGGCTCGTGCGCCGTGCCCGAAGTCGAACTGCTGCCGAGGTCGCTCGCTCGCTCGCTCGCTCGCTCGCTCGCTCGCTCGCTCGCTCCTCCTCCTCCTCCTCCTCCTTCTAAGCCTTGCCCAGCCTCCCGCCCCGAGAAGCGGACCGGAGCGCTGCGCCACCCGCTTGCAAGGCGTAGCGTGTCGCCGGGGCCGCCGCCGCGAAACGCTAGGCTTATGATGCTCCAACATAGTTCAGCCTTGACCTTAGTGGGCCCTGGGAACGACAGGGCCGTTGTTTTACCGGTCCCGTTTTGGCGTTTTTTGCCGGTTTCGGCGCCGTTTCTTTACCGGTTCCGTCGCCGTTGTTTGACCGGTTCCGGCTCCAGCTCCAGTCCTGGAGCCGTTTTTTTGCCGTTTCCGGTCGCCGTTGTTTTGCCGTTTCCGTTTTCAAGGGGAATTTGCTGGAAACGGTGAAAAAAAACGGCCCTGCCGTTTCCGGGGCCCACAAAGGCCTTGACCACCAGAAATCATTTCGAGCACCCGAACCAGCACCGAAACTCAAGGGTTTTCACGTGTCGGGCCTTGGGAGACACTCGCCCGACACTGTTTCGACACCCTTTTGACACTTTTCCGGGTGCTCGAACTTATTTTTGGGATGCGGTCTTTAAGAAGGGTGGGAACAACATAACGCTAGGCAGCACCCCATATGGAGCTCCACCGATGGCCTTAGGGGGTGGTGTCTTACACCGTCCCGCAGCCGATTTCGGCTCACCCCTTACACGTTTCGTGGCCCCACCGGGAGCTCCACCGAAGCCCCCAGGCGTCCATTTCGACGCACCCCTCGCGCGTTGAGTGGCCCCTATGGAGGGTTCCCCTTCCCTCGGCTTCCTGACCGCAAGCCTGGTCGGACGCGGGGGGGGGAGGAGGATTGGGAGATTGGGGGGGGCACCACACCTGTTGGGTGCACCTGGCTTCGGCTCCACCGCCGAGCACCTTGCGCGGTGTTCGGGCGCCTCTGACGCGCGCGGGGGGGCCGCTGGGAGAGCAAGCGGCACGTCTGTAGTGGAGGATGACGATTAATAAATGACCGGGGGTCGTGTTAACGCAGCGGCGCCCGGGATGCGGATTAGAAAAAACCGGCCGCGGGCTGGAAAACTATGTTATCGTTCTCCTCCAGTCAGAACACTATGCAGAAATATCAGAAAACTATGTTTTAATCGTTCTCTCCCATTTTTTTATTAATCGTCATCCCGCATTACCCAGGCCTCAGAGATGGGGTCCGAGCAGATGGGGTTGGAGGACCGCGCCGCATTGCCGATGCATCGGCGATGCGGCTCGATGAGGAGCCCGATGCTCTACACGCCGACGTCGCCGCTGCACCGGCGATGCACCGGAGATGTGCCGGCGATGCGGTGCGGTATTCCGACCCATCCGCCAGGACCACATTCGGGAGGCCTCTACCATGGGTATTCCCCTTTGCGGCCGCCCTGGGCTGGGTATAAAGGGTGTTCGAGGGTCCATCGAAGATCGAGGATCAAGGATCCAGGGCCGATCAAGTATTAAGTCGGGCCTGTCCCTCTACAGGGGGGATATTCAAAAATGATCAAGAAATAGGCTAGCAACTATTTTTTCAGTATTTTGGGACATCTTTTGAATATTTGTGGGGTATTTTTTATTTTTCATCCAAAATCCCCCTGTAGGGGGACACGCCCGACTTAAATCAAGTATCGAAGACCCAGGGCCGAGGATCGAAGGTCAATCGAAGGTCGAAGAGCCATCGAAGACCTGGGATCGAGGATCCAAGATCGATCGAAAAAGCGAAGCTTTGAGTCGGGCCTGTCCCTCTACAGGGGGGATATTCAAAAGTAGTCAAAAATAGTCTGGGGACTATTTTTGGAGTATTTGTTTTACCATTTTGGAGCATTTTGGAGGTATTTCTTATTTTTTGTCGGGAATCCCCCAGTAGGGGGACACGCCCGACTTAAGCGAAGCTCTGTGACCCAGAGCCGATCAGAGATCAAAGACCGAGGGTCGACCGAGGATCGAGGTTCGAGGATCCAGGATCCGTGCCTCGCGACCCCAGCGGGGTCTCAAGGCGACCCCAGGACTCGGACAACGTCCCCTGAGAACTCCAAGAGGCACTCGTGGACTGACACCAGGATGACCATCGCAGTGGACAACCGCATGGGCCTAGCTAGGACCAGCCGTGCGAGGCAGTGGCATCGGAAATCTGGCGTGGCGGGGCAATGCGCAAGGCGCAAAGTGATGATGATGATGATGATGCTGATGATGATGATGATGATGATGATGCTGATGATGATGATGATGCTGATGCTGATGCTGATGCTGATGCTGATGCTGATGCTGATTATGATGATAATGATAATGATGATGATGATGATGATGATGATGATGATGATGATGATGATGATGATGATGATGATGAAGAAGAGAGGGAAGTGGCGCGCGCGGTCGAGGTCGCTGATGCGGGGGGCGGAAAGAACTCACTCCTTGAGGAGACCTTACGCGATTCTTCGCTTCCTGCCCTGCTGGCATGAGGCACTTGATTGTCGGGAAGTCTCGTGCGGAATTGCTGTTTCCTGGTGGCATGGAAACCTACTGGAAATATGTGTTGAGGATGTCCCCAGCGGAATCGCCACTCGCCACTATGCTTTTTGCGAGGAAGCCCTGGAGCGAATTCGCCACTTTCTTCTGACATGGCCAAGTGTTTCTGATCGCCCTGGAAGGCGATGAGAAACTTATGTTAAGGAAGCATTGGGTGGAATGTCACTTTCTGACGCAGGTCCCATTTTGCTTTTAGAATTACAGGAGTCGGGCATGTCCCTCTACAGGAGGCGTTTCAATAATAACAAGAAATAGTCATGTGACGATGTTTCGTGCTCCTTTGGCAATTTCTGAGCACGTTTTGATTTTTTGATTTGTTCGTCCACAATCCTTCCGTAGGAGGACATGCCCGACGTACGTAGTTCTAGAATGCATCAGAAGAAATCCAACACTGTCCCGGGGGACCGCGGCCAGACGGGAGGCAAACCATATCTTCCTCGATCCCCGCGGTCAGCAACCTCTCATCCACTGGGTCGTAGCGTGTGGCTGTTGTGCCTTTTGTGCACGCCGCCTGCGGTGTCATCCCGCCGCCCGCTTCTGAGTCCGATTCCGGTCGGGCCCACGTACGAGGTCGAGGTCGGCTCGGGGAGGGTACCCTGGTGTTCTTCGTGTTGTTTGTCGTAGGGGGCCACATGCGAACCCTACCCCTACCCCCCACGATTTCTGAGGGGGGGGGGTCACTTCGCCCGGGAGTTCCCGAGCGAATGGAACCCCACCCTCCCCTTCAGAAATCATACTGGACCCCGCCCTCCTGCGCCACTCCCAGGGCTGGATCGCTCCGCGAGGGCCCCAGGGCCCGAGGCCTGCATCGAAGGCGCCCAGTGCGCCCCCCCCAAAAAAAAATGGCAGCGCGGCTCTATCCGCGGGCGCCGCAGCACCCCGCCGAGGAGGCGCCCGCCGCCGCCGGCCCGCCGCCGCCGGAGGCCGCGCCCGACGGGCAGCCGGCGGCGGGCAGCCGGCAGCCGTCCCTGGTGATACTCGGCCCCGCCGAGCCGCCGCTGCCGGGGGGCGTCGACCCCATGTGCAGGCCCCCCGACGAGGCTCCGGGCCTCCCGGGCGGGGTCCGAGCAGGTGGGGTCACTCGACTAGACGTGAGAGTGAGTTTTCGCCGGAGTGACCTTTGGTGCGGGCACAGATGGGCCCCCAGATGGCTGAAAACGAAGCAGGAGCAGCGGCTTGCGCGCCCAGGTTTGGTCCCCCCGCGGCCCCCAAAAGCCGCGCACCAAAGGTCACTCTTACCCAGGGTCACTCTTGCGTGTAGCCGAGGGTCGAGAGGGCCGCGCCGCACCGCCGAGGGGCGCCGGCACGTGCGGCCCTCGAGGCGGCGGAGCCCGATAGGTGCTCCTCTCCGCGCCGGCGAGGCCTATCGGCGGTGCCTCTCGGCGGTGCCTCTCGGCGGTGCGCCGCGGGCCTTTCCACCCGAGATCTGCTCGGGCCCCATCATGGGAGGCCCCCCCGAGGCGCCCAGCCCGGGCGGGCTCCCCGGGCCGGCGGCGCCGCCAGGCCCGCCCACCTCCCAGGGTCTGCGGCCTCGCCCTCCCTCGTCCCTCGCCCCTCCCTCGAGCCCCTCCCTCGCCCCTCCCTCTCGCTCTCGTGCCTCGCCCCTGCTCCTCTGTCTCCCTCCCCCCCTCGTCGCTCCTCCGTCCTCCACCTCCTCCTCCTCTTTCTCCTCCTCCCCCCCCCTCCGTGCCTCGCTCCTCCCTCCCTCCTCCTCTTTCTCCTCCTCGTCGGCAGCAGCCGGGAGAGCCTTGTCCGCGCCCGTAGTCCCGTCGTTTGAGTCGGCGGCGAGCGAAGGGGGGGAAGTGAGAAGGAGAAGGCCTTCCCAGAAGGCGGCGGGGCTTCTCACAAGCCCTCGCGCCTTCCGATAGGTGTTCTGCGCCTTCGGGGAAGGCCCAGGAAACTCAGAAGGCTGGAGGGCTTCCGAGCCTTCTGAGAAGGCCTGCATCTTCTCACTTCCGCCCCAGGCTCGCCGCCAATCTACGGTTGGGAACTTTGGCGCTGCCGATCCGGGCGTTGCCTTTTGGTTGACACTTGGCGTTTTCGCCCGATCTCGGGTCCTGCATGGGGCCCTCGCAGATCGGTCCGGCTCAAAGAATGACGCATAAAGATGAGGTCCGGGGCTCCGGCTGTGATTCACGGGCATGCTTTTTTTGTTTTTGCAGTGTCGGATCTCAGGGGCGTGGAGAGTGGAGTGCGCCAGAGCTCGGCTTTGCCGACCCTTTCTGACGAGCGCGTCCTGGATTTTGACGGTCCAGTTTTCGTGGGAGGTCTGCAGCGGGAGGTTGCAGCAATTTTCGAATTGGGTCTCGGCATTTTCATGATGGTCCCGTCAGGCCAACCCGGGTCCCCCTAACCCGAGTCTTCCGTCTCGCCGATCGGGAACTTTGGCTCTTATTCCGCCGCGCCGCTGGTTCTGGCCCACCACGCTTCCGGCGCGGCACGCTATCCACGTCCCCATTCCCAAGCGTCCGCGTCACGAGTTGTTCCCAGCCTCCCGTACCGCGCAGCGGAGCGAAACGCTATCCGCGTGCGAGGCGTAGCTTGTCGCAGTGGCCGCCGCCTCGACATGCTAAGCAAAAGCTCCCGACCGTAAACTGGACTAGTGGGTCTGGCGCAGATGGGTCGGTGGCGAGAGGTGCAATAGTTAGCTCTTCATTGTATAAGGGCTTCCTGAAGGCTTCTCAGGCCGAGGGATCGAAATGTCCGTTCGGGTCCCCCGTCTGGGCTCCCTCTTGGAGCCGTTTTGAGGGCCTCTTCGGCTGTCTTGGAGGCCTCTTGCGCGGTCTTGGGGCCCTCTTGTCTCGTTGTGGAGCTCTCTTGGAGGCCTCTTGAGCCATCTTGAGGCGGTCTTGGCCTGTCTTGGAGCGTCGGGAAGCTGACAATGTGAGAATGCTGAAATCTTTCAAACACTCCAGGAAATCTACGTTTTTTGCCCCTTGGGGCCATCTTTGACGTCCTCTTGGAGGCCTCTTGGGGCGTTTTGGAAACCTTTTGAGCCGTCTGGAGGTTATTTTGGCGACTTGGACCGATACTTGGGCGATTCGGGGCCCTCGAAGACCGTCTTGGAGACATATTGGGGCACTTCTGCCGCGTCTTGGGGCTTTTCTTGGCCCCCCAACCGCCCATGCAGGGGGGAGTCGTATCTGCCCCGGGATCCCCCCGGGACCCCCCTCCCCCCTGGGACCACCCCCGGGACCACCCCCCCGCGTGGAAAGGATCAAAGGGAAGGGGCTTCCCTTCGACTCAACTGCAACGTTGCTCAAGTGACGACGACGACGAGTCAAACGGAACAGCCTCTTCCACACGCAGGCAGGGTCGGCGGATTCCTGCGTGAAAAGTAGTACGCAACTATTGCGGGGGGGCGCGACCGATTGCATGGGCAACATACTTCGCAGGTGAACCAGAAACTTGCACAAGTGCATCAGCGCACAGCTACTGCATCCAAGAGGGAGCGGACAAAACGGCATGAGGATACATGTTTGACGCTTCGCTCCAGGCCGCCCAATTGGGGGCCGAGTAGATCGGGTCGGCAGATCGCGCCGCATCGCCGATGCAGCGGCGATGCGGCTCGATGTTGAGACCGATGTTCTCCACGCCGCCGTCACCGATGCGTTTCCGACGTCGCCGATTCAGCGCCGGTGCATCGTTGATGCACCGGTAATACATCGGCGATGCGGCGTGGCAGCGGTGCTCATGCGAACTGTGGACGCACGCAGTGAAACAAAGCGAGGGGACAACCGTCAAACCCAAGAGAAGGATTAGCCTGAACATGCCCAGCAGTGGGCCATAACTTGCTTCGCGAACCTGTCGATATGGGAGCCTGTTGACAGCTTCCTTGGGCCATCTTGGGCCATTCATGGGGGCCTTTTGGAAGCCTTTGGGGCCGTCTTGGGGCCCTCCTGGGCCCCTCTTGGGACCCTCTCTAGGTTCTTGGGGTCGCTCTTGGGGTCATCTCGTGGGCCATCGGTCAACACATGGATAATTACGAATCGGGGTAACTAAGTACTGCCCCGCCGTCGGAGGCAGGCACCTTATCTTCTGGGGTGTTATTGGGTGGTCGTGGGGCTGTCTTTGGCCCCCTATTCGGGCTCTCTTGGACCATCTTCTAGCCATCTTGAGGCCGTAAGAGCCCATCGAAAGCGAAAAGACTTCAGGGGGGTCCTTTGCAAACTCCATGGCCACTTGGAGCCGTCTTGGGACGGCCATGGCGCCTCTTGGAGGCATGTCGGAAGTTATCTTGAGTAATCGTGGGTTATGTTGTACGATCTTGTAGGCCTCGGACCCTCCAACGACCCGTGACCGTGCCCGTCCAGACCCAGGGATGGGACGAGGCGTGAGGTAGAGGGAACGGTAAACCTCTCCCCGAGGGGAAGAAGAAATTTTGGAATCACTACACCGCTAAAGCACCTGCGCACAAGGGCTGGCGGGGTTCTCGTAGGTCCGCGCGGATCTCTAATGTGATCTGCACTGGACCCCCCCTGGGCGGCGCCCCTGGCGCGGACCTACGAAGGTTTACCTTTATGCCGCTGTCAATACCGCGGAAGACCAGAGTCACTCCAACCGGGACAGGGTACGCTACGGTAGAGGGAAACAATTAGTGAACCCCCCCCCTGCCCCCCAAACTCAAAGTTGGCACGCGCGGTGGGAGACTGCGGTCGAGGTGCAACTCATCAGACCCACCACCAACTTTGAATATTGGGGGGAGGGGGAGGCGTTCACAGATGAATGTGGCATGAGTGTTCGCTATTTTTCTCCGAGGCCTGCAGCTCTCCCAGCGCATCTCCTCCAGGCGGGGATGGGTGTTGTGAAGCCCAGGGGGGACGGCACACATCCTCGGAGGGGCTCGACAGATACACCGCGCCGTTTGTCCGGCCAGGGAGCCCAGGCGGTCGGCGAAGGATTCCGGTACATCGACTCTCCAGCGTCCCAACATCGCAGCGTGGTGTGTACACCGAGCCGATCCCGCATCCACACCTGAGCACGAGGTTCGGGCGGGTGGTGATGGGGGGTTAGAGGGGGGCGAAGGAAAGGGTACATTTAGGGCGATTTGCTTCACCCCCATTCAGTCAAGGCCGGCGTTTGCTAAACGGCCCTGGGCGTTCACCAAACATCCCTGCCGTGTTCGTTTCCTTCTTTGGGTGCGTTTACTGAGCGGCTTCGCGTGTCGGAGTGACTACAATGAGGGTGTTTTTCCCGCTCACTTGAGGGGTTGCTCGGCAGCGGTCCGCCGAACAACTCCTCCATTACCACCCACCCGCCCGATGAGGGGTTGTGCGGCAACGGTCTCGCTTGCCCAGAGTGGCGTCGCGACCTCGAGCCCTTCTCGGAGCAGGGCCGCTCTGATCTCTCGTAGGGGGGCCTCTTTGGTTCCCCGCGGGCCTCTCCACCCGGCCCCGGCCCCTTCCGAGCCAGCCCAGCTTCGGGGACGCCTTGGGGGGCGCTGTTTTTCTTTAGACTCTGGCAAGCTTGCGTGCATGGAGTGGGGGGGGGGGCGCGGCGAGGCCAAAAACGAAATCTCTGGACTTCACGCAAGTCGGGACTCACTTGCACGTGTTCGGCCCAGCGCTGTTCGTACAGGAGGCGAGAGGGGGGGGGGGGAGGGGCGAAGTGCAGTGCAAGTGGACCTGCAAGGTCTAGACAAAGACCGCGCTCGCGGGGGGGGCAGCAGCTTCACACAGCCAGAGCGTTTGGAGTCAGAGGGGCAAGAACTCTTGAATTAGAAGGGCAGGAAGCGGCGTGAGCACAAACTGCTGGCGCTCCGCGCGGATTGCTCGGGTCCGCGCTGCCCCCCCGCCCCCCCCGCGGCGCCTCCGGCGCCGCCCCTGGCTCGCTTCGCGCGCCGGGGAGGGAGGTCTTGCGCAGATCCAAGAAGTCCGCGCGGACCGCAAAAAGTTTATGTTTATGCAGTTTTTCTGATTCTTCTTCTATTTCTACGGCCAGAGCGTTTGGGATCAGAGGGGCAAGACATCTCGGCCTCCTAGGTGGGGTCCGAGCAGATGGGGTCGGGGGATCGTGCCGTATCGCCGATGCATCGCCGATGCGGCACGATGTGGAGCCCGATTTGCTTTACGTCGACGTCGCAAATGCATCGCCCACGTCGACGATGTATCGTCGGTGCATCGCCGATGCATCGCCAGTGCATCGCCGATGTATCGGCGATGCGGCGCGACCCCATCTACTCCGACCCTATCTAGGAAGGACTCTATGAACGGGGATCAGACGGTCCAAGGAAGGCCGCGAAAGAGCAGAGGAGCGCACAAAAGCAGGCCGACCATCATTTCAGAACGGCATGAGAGAGCGCCTCCATCTTGGAGCCGAGCCAGAACACCGTGCCACCTCTATCCGGTGACCTTCGGCGCATCCCGCCACAGTGCCGAGATGATGGATCAGAGGCTCAGGGTCTCTTATGGTGCCTGTCGGAGGCCTGTTGGAAGGCTCGCGGGGCCCCCCTCCTCCTCCTCTTCCTCCCCCTCCCCCTCCCCCTCCCCCTCCTCCTCCTCCTCCTCCTCCTCCCCCTCCGCCTCCCCCTCCTCCTCCTCCTCCTCCTCCTCCTCCTCCTCCTCCTCCTCCTCCTCCTCCTCCTCCTCCTCCTCTTGGGGTCCTCTTGGGGCCTCCTGGGGGCTTACTCGGAGCCTCTCGAGGGCCTCTTGGGGCCTCTTGGGGGGGTTTGGGGGAACTGCTGGCGGTCTCAGGGGGCCATCTCGGGACGGAGGGCTCGACATGTCAGTTTTTGTGCTCCCCCTTTTGGAGGCCTCTCGGGCTCTCTTGAGATGTATGGGGGCGATCTGGGGGGCCTCTTGGCCCGTCTTTGAGCGCTACAAGATGGAACAAGCGAGCCGGGTAGCCGGGTCCTTTGCATCGATGTTCATCATCTGGCTGGGCAGGGGAGTCCTTTGGATTGCCTGCACGGCGATGCCGGTATGTTTGGTTTGTTAGCTTAATTCGTATAGCAGCCACCACGGCGAATTGACGATAGTTGTTCGCAAGCCTCACAAGGTGCGACATCGAGCTGTCCGATAGTCGAAGATGTGCACGGAAAAAAATGGAACAAGCGAGCCATGGAACATGCTTGAGTTTTGCCTCATGTGCCCTCGTGGGGGTCCCGTTGGAGCCCTCTTTATGCCGTCTTGGAGGCGTCTTGGGCCGTCTTGGGGCCATCGTGGTCGTCTTGGGCCCAAGTTACTGAAAGAAGGCCAACTCTAATTGCCCGACTAATGCGCCAAATGGGGGAGGGGAACGCCTCTCCTACGAGGGTGTGCTCCCGCACATGGACATTACATTCGAACCCTGTGTCCCAAGATGCCCCCCAGACCCCCCGAAATTAATATTGATGGCGTGGCGACGGGGGGGGCGTGAGTGAACAGAAATATTCGAAGCCCAAAGCACCGCCTTTACTGAGATCAACATTGATGTCGGGGGCTCGGGGGTGATTTAGAATCTCCCTCGACTGCGTCAAGGGTTCGAAGATATGGTCCACCTACTGGAGGACAAGCTTCGACTCCAAGAGCGCCACCCTGGGACAATCGGCCCCAAACTCCCCTTCACACGCGCCGATAGGGTCGGCAGTCTTGGGCTCGAGACCCCTTGGATCGACGGCTCTCCTTGACAGACCCTGGCTCGGAGCCCTTCAGAAGCCTCCGACCCCCACTTGCCAAGGAGCCCCCGTGCCTGCCTACCACCAGATCCGTTGTTCCTCTCTTGTCAATCGTTCACCGTGATCGGTCTGTGGTGTTGCGTCCCCCCCCTGTTCCTCCTCGGCGGGAAATGAACTCCGCCACTCCTCCTTCCCCTCCTCCTTCCCCTCCTCCTTCCCCTCCTCCTTCCCCTCCTCCTCCTCCTCGTCATCGTCATCGTCGTTGTTTCGTCACCCCCCCGGGAAGTCCCGACCCTTTCTCCAGAGCCGTTTTTTTCCACCCCGAGCCCTCGTCTTGAGATGGCCCCAGGGGCCTGGCGAGGGCGCCTCCCTGGGCTCCGGAGACGGCGAACAAGAGTGCGCACTGTCCTGGCATCGCTCCGGCGTGATGATTTTTTCGGCGAGGAACATCTTTTCTGGCCGAGTAGATGAGATCTGAGCCATCCCGCCCAAAAAGCTGGTGCTCACGCATATATTTTGGCGATCGCAGCTCGCCCCCGCTCCGACGTGCCCCACCCCGCCCAAGCATTACCATTGTCCGCTCCCCCCCCTGGGGGCAATCAAAGCAGAAGCTACTCAGTGGATGGGGTCGGAGATTCGCGCCGCAACGCCGATGCATCCCCGATGCGGCTCGATGTGAAGCCCGATTTGCTTCACGTCGACGTCGCGGATACATCGCCCACGTCGACGATGTATCGCCGGTGCCGATAAATCGCCGAAGCATCAACGATGTATCAGCGATGCGGCGCGATCTTCCGACCCCATCTACTCCGACCCCATGTAGGAGGCCTCTGACCACCGACCGAGGAACATGTTGGATCATTGCGCGGAACAGAAGTGCACGAAACCGAAACATGCACCGAGAAAGGTCGTCCGCCTGAGGGCCATATTGTTTCCGCCTATGCGTTGGAGGGCTGCCTGACGCACCACACTTCCAGCGGCCCTCCGGGACCGATGCGGGCACACCGGGGACGCTCTCCCGGCAAGGCGCAGCTGCTGGCAGCCACTCCGAGGCGAGAACAACCTCAAGCAAAACCAAACTCAACAACCTCCAACAACACCTTTCAGGAGGGAAAGAAACACACAGACACAATTAATCTTCGATTCCCCAGAAAATATGGGAAAATATGGGAAGTGGGGAGAAGACAGAAACCCAGAAAATATGAGAAAATATGGGGAACATTTTTATTTGTGTGCATTAAAATGTATGTTCTGGGGCCCCTTCAACCTAGTTGGGAGGACCACCGCCACCATCGCACCCAAAACCCCGCCTTCAAGGGCAACGTTAGGGGTGAGCGGGCTCCGGCGCGAACGCATCGACCCCCCATCGGGAGCCTTGAGACGGGGGTCAATGCCAACGGGGGTCAGCCAGGGCACTGGATCCTGCAAGCTCCTGCGAAGACCCCCTCTGGCTGACCCGGGTCAGCGAGCCGCTCGTGGCCGCGAGGCGGCCGCGCATATTGGCGGACCCGGGCTTGCGAAGCCCTGCGTTGCAGTTTTTGTTTCCTGCATTGCAGTTGTTTGGTTAGGGGGCCACTTGCGAACCCTACCCCTACCTCCCACGATTTCTGAGGGGGAGGGTGGGGTTCACTTCGTTCGGGAGCTCCCGAGCGAAGCGAACCCCACCCTCCCCCTCAGAAATCGTGGGGGGTAGGGGTAGGGTTCGCATGTGGCCCCCTATTGGTTTCCTGCTGACCCGGGTCTGGGTTGACCCGGGTCAGAAGATCCCCGATCGGGCAACGGGGGAGGGGGTCGCGTCCCTCGTGACTTTCCCGCGGCGCGGATCCAAACATCCGCCGCTTCGATGGTCTCGGTGCGTGCTTGCAGTCGGACTGTTGAAGAAAGAACTCGTTTCGTTGGGGAGGGGCTCGGTTTTCCTTCATTTTGTTTGCAGTTATTTTTCGGTTTTCTATGGGAAATCGAAGTTTCACTTCTGGAGAAAAGGGGCCTCGTTCCTCATGTGGGGTTCCTTCTGACACGACCCCATCGCCCACCAGTCGCCGACAGGGGCCCATTAGCCCACCCCGCCGGAGACCCTGTGGATTCGCGCCTGGGGGTCTGTCGCCGATCTATCGGCGACGTATCGCCGATTGGTCGATCTCCCTCCCCCCCCTGGAGCCAGCCGCCCTCCCTCCTCCTGCTCCTCCTGCTCCTCCTCCTCCTCCTCCTCTTCCTCCCTCTCTTCCTCCTCTTCCTGATCCTGATCATCACCATCACCACCACCATCATCATCATCAGCATCATCAGCATCATCATCATCACCACCATCATCATCAGCATCATCATCATCACCACCATCATCATCAGCATCATCATCATCATCACCATCATCACCATCATCATCATCATTAGCATAATCCTCCTCCTCCTCCCCTCCTCCTCCTCCTCCTCCCCTCCTCCTCCCTCCTCTTCCTCTCTCCTCCTCTCTCCCCTCCTCTCTCCTCCTCCACCACCTCCTCCTCTCCTCCTCCTCCTCCTCCTCCTCCTCCTCCTCCTCCTCCTCTCCTCTCCTCCTCCTCCTCCTCCTCCTCCTCCTCCTCCTCCTCCTCCTCCTCCTCCCCCTCCCCCTTCCCCCTCCCCCTCCCCCTCCCCCGCGCCGCCAGACGGCGGCGTCGCGGCCGCCGACGCTGCCCTGGCGCCGCCCGGCGCCGATGGCCAGGTTGGCCCCCGCGGGGTCTCCGAGGAGGTCTTCTGGAGGTACTCCGACGCGCTCGGCTTCTCCGGGCCTCCCGGGGCGCCCTCGTCGCCGCGGCTGGGCTCGCCTCGAGCTCCTGGCGCTGCCAGGTGTGGCGTCCGTCGCCGCGCGGCGTCCCTCCGTGGCTGGTCCGCTAGCCCTTCTCGTGCACCCAGGCTTTTTGAAGCCACAGAGGGGCTTCGTTCCTTATTTACTCCAGATTTCGTCATAAAAGGGAGGGGGTCTCAACCCTCCCAGACGAGAAGTTTTAGGCCCCCCCCCGTGGGAGAACCCTCCAAAGCATCGTCCCCAGACCCCCCCCCCCCGGCCCTCCAAGACAGCCTGGAAGAGAGACCCCCCCCGAAAGGAGACCCCCCCCCTTTTTATGACGAAATCCGAGGTACGACTCCAGGCTCAGAGATCTGCTGTGTTCCCTCCCGTGTTCTGTTCTCTCGACCTCGTCTTCCAGGGCCCCTCCTCGGGCCGTGGGGGGAATCAGACATGGGAGAGGGCCGGGGCACCTGGAGCCGCAGATCGCCAGAAACAGATCGGCGGAGGATGCCTAGGCAGGTCCCCTGGGAGGTCTCCTTCCCCTCGGTCCCCCCCTGATATCCTGGCGCTGCAATTTTGACATCGCGGTGCCATGTTTCACCTTGCTCGCGCGCCGTCTGGCGCTAGGCTTCTCGCTCGCTCGCGCGCTGCAATTTTTAACAACGGTCACAGATCAATCCAGCTCGAAAGATGGGGTCCGGGGTCCGGTTGTGATTTGTTGCGAGGGTGTGATCTGTTTTGCAGCGTCGGATCTCAGGGCGTGTCATTCCCTCTTCCTCCTCATCCTCTTCTTATTTCTCTACGCTGGGCTCCTCCTCCGTTTTGTTGGGGCCTGCTGTGTGGGGATGGGGGGTATACCTGGTGCATCGGGTGCGCCCCTAATGGTTTGTGGTCCTCGCCTTTCCTCCACGGGCTCTCCCCGGTTGGCCGCGCTCTTCGGACAAGGGGCAGGGACCTCACCGGGCGGGTTTTTAGTGCTCGGGGGGGCGGGGGGGGGGCTTTCGGCGCGAGAGGAAGGGCAGGCGCTTCCCCTTCCAGGCACCCCGGCCTGGCTCCGCTCTGAGACCTCCACACAGGCGCCATCGTCACAGGCTGATCATCCTCAGCCTCCTCCTCCTCCTCCTCCTCCTCCTCCTCTTCCTCCTGTGCCCACTCTCCTCTCCGTATCTCCTCTTCTCTTCTCCTCCTCTCCTGATCTCTCCTCCTCTTCCAACTCTCCTCTCCTCCCCTCCACTCATCCTCTCCTGTTCGCCTCTCCTCTCATCCTCTCCTCTTCTTGTTATTCGTATTCCTGTTATTGTTGTTATTCGTCCTCGTCTTCCTCCTCTCCTCCTTCTCCCCCTCCTCATCCGTCTCTCCTCTTCTCCTGTTGGTATTCTAGACACTTCGCGTAACCCCACCAGCCCATCCAGAAACCAAGCCCAGGCGAGTTGCCCTGATCAAGGCTGTTGATGGGCTTGCAGTGGAGCGAGGGAGAGGATGGAGGAAGAATTGGAGGAAAAGGGGGAGGAGGAGGGAGTTGGGGGAAAAGGGAGAAGGGAGGAGGAGGAGGAGGAGGAGGAGGAGGAGGAGGAGGAGGAGGAGGAGGAGGAGTCTTGGATGCCTCTCGGACTCAATCTGGCCTGATCTGGCTTAGTGACCCCTTGATCGGGCCTCGTAGCTGTTAATCGTTCTGACGAAGACCTCTCAGGAGTTGCCTCCTTGTGCGTGGGCAATACCATACAGAACACCGAGCACCAATCTCCAGCGCACGGTTGAGCGAGCGCCGAGGTCGAGGACGAGCGCCAGGCGGTGGACAGAGCGTCGGAGGTGCAGGCGACGACGAGCTCCTGCAGCCCGCAGGCGCGGAGGGGGGGTGGATGGAGGAGGGGGGGTGGATGGAGGAGGGTGCGCGGGAGGGCGGGAGGGCGGGAGGGGGAGGAGGAGGAGGAGGAGGAGGAGGAGGAGGAGGAGGAGGAGGAGGAGGAGGAGGACGAGGAGGAGGAGGAGGAGGAGGGGGAGGAGGAGAAGGAGGAGCAGAGGGGTTGGGGAAGGTGGGCAAGCTAGGTGCGCTCGCGTCAGATCTGACGTCCTGCTCCTCCCTTATATCCGTTACCATTGCGCTGATTGTTCACATTCCTCGAACGCGTGCTATGACGGACCTGGAACTTACAGAAAGACCCCATCGTGTTGTGCTCAATCGGAAAGAAACTGGGAGCTGCGTTCATAGGAAGAGGGAGAGGGGGAGGAGGTGTTGGCGGCGGATGAGCGGAAGAATGAGCAGAAAGAAAAGAAGCATGAGAAACGAAGGGGAGGACGAGGACAGACAGCAGCGGCAGGAGGACGATGGGAAGGCAGAGGAGGGGAAACGAGGGGGACGAACACGATAAAACACAGGCTCGGATCCAGAAGAGTGCCCCGCGCTGGGGGACGGAGTTGCTGTCCGCCTCTTTCCTATGTGAAGATACTCGGAACGATCGGAGCAACGCGCCGATCCGAAAATGAGGCCCACGCTGCAGCTGGGGCACCATCTCAAAACCCCGAGAGCGATCGGAATGTAACACAACGTTGGGAATTGCAGTTGTTTGCACATCCTGTGCGAGAGAGACATGACGCGGGGAGGCGGGAATTGCTCCCTCACGAAGTCAGGGGAGAGAGGACATCAGTTTTCAAATTTTGTGCTTGTTGTAGAGGGGGAGGAGATGAGCAGGGAAGGAATGATGGGGAGAATGATGAGGTTGAGAAGGGGGGCAGAAGGGGAGGGGAAGAGGAGAAGGGGGTGGGTGAGAGTGAGGAGGAGGAGGAGGAGGAGGAGGAGGAGGAGGAGGAGGAGGAGGAGGAGGAGGAGGCAGCAGGAGGAGTGAGGAGGAGGAGGAGGAGGGGAGAGGGAGGAGGAGGAGGAGGAGAAGGAGGAGGAGGAGGAGGAGGACGAGGAGGAGGAGGAGGAGGAAGAGAAGGAGGGGAGGAGGAGGGGAGGAGGAGGAGGAGGAGGAGGAGGAGGAGGAGGAGGAGGGGAGGAGGAGGAGGAGGAGGAGGAGGAGGAGGAAAAGAGGAGGAGGAGGAGGAGGAGGAGGAGGAGCGGGTGGAGGAGGATGAGGAGGAGGAGGAGAAGGAGGAGGAGGAGGAGGGAAAGAAGGGGGGAGGAGGAGGAGGAGGAGGAGAGGAGGAGGATGAGGAGGAGGAGGAGGAGAACGAGGAGGAGGAGGAGGAGAAAAAGAAGAATAAGAAAAAGAAGAAGAACATAAGGAGGAGAGGAGGAGGAGGAGGAGGAGGAGGAGGTGGAGGCGGGGGAGGAGGACGATGAGGAGGAGGAGGAGGAGGAGGAGGAGGAGGGGAGGAGGAGGAGGAGGAGGAGGGAGGATTAGGAGGAGGAGAATGAGGGGGAGGAGGAGGAGGAGGATGAGGAGGAGGAGGAGGAGGAGGAGGAGGAGGGAGGAGCAGGAGGAGGAGGAGGAGGAGCAGGAGAAGTGATAGGAGAAGGACGAGGAAGAGGAGGGCGACGACGACGAGTCTCTCTCTATCTGTCTCTTTCTGTTCTCTCTCTTTCTCTTTCCCTTCACTCTCTCCCCTCTTCTCTCATATGGTAATCCGTAAGGGCTTCGCCCCTGCCGCCGGCCCCCTCTCTCGGAGAATGGGCCATGGAAGAGCTAAGTCATGAGGCCTTGGCGCTGTCGTGAAGCAGTATCGAAACTTCATGCGAAGCCGAGTCCAATCAGCAAAATCAACTGATCACAAGAGGGGTTACCACACCTGGCGATTGGTAAGACGTGTATGGTTTAAGGGCTTGGTTACCACACCTTGCGATTAAAGGGCCGAGGGAGTTCTCGCAGTTTGGGTTACCACGCCTTGCGATGGATGTGCGTGAAGGGTGGCACCGAATTTCAGAAATGTTGCAAATCCCCTGTGTTTTTGGACCCTGACCCCGCGGATCTGCGTGAGGGGTGGCACCGAATTTCAGAAATGTGGCAAATCCCCTGTGTTTTTGGACCCTGACCCCGCGGATCTGCGTGAGGGGTGGCACCGAATTCCAGAAATGTAGCAAATCCCATGTGTTTTTGGACCCTGACCCCGTGGATCTGCGTGAGGGGTGGCACAGAATTTCAGAAATGTGGCAAATCCCCTGTGTTTTTGGACCCTGACCCCGCGGATCTGCGTGAGGGGTGGCACCGAATTTCAGAAATGTGGCAAATCCCCTGTGTTTTTGGACCCTGACCCCGCGGATCTGCGTGAGGGGTGGCACCGAATTTCAGAAATGTGGCAAATCCCTGTGTTTTTGGACCCTGACCCCGCGGATCTGCGTGAGGGGTGGCACCGAATTTCAGAAATGTGGCAAATCCCATGTGTTTTTGGACCCTGACCCCGCGGATCTGCGTGAGGGGTGGCACCGAATTTCAGAAATGTGGCAAATCTTTTGTGTTTTTGGACCCTGACCCCGCGGATCTGCGTGAGGGGTGTCGATTTCGAGCCCCCCCAGCAATTCAGACAACGCGCCCAGGAGGTGCTAAAATGTCGGTTTGGGCCTCCCCCCCCCTCGCGCGGTCAATCAACTAGTTACAGTAACCAGCAAGAAGCAGAACTGTAACACTGGAAACTACAAGCTACAACTGGTACAGGAAACTGCGAACCTCGCGCCTACAGCCTGGTGGCCCCACAAGGGGGCCGGCGGATTCGGCACGTGCAGTTTGTGCAAGCCACGTGGCACTCTCAGGCGTCGGCCCGCCTGGCGACTCGGATGTCTTGCTGTGGGCGCGCGTTTGATGATCATGGCGATGGTGGTGGTGATGATTATGGGTTGGTGGATTGGCGACAGTGATGGTGATGGTGGTGGTGGTGGTGGCGGGGAGGAGGTGAGGCTCGTAGCCAGTGCACCTCCAGAGGTTCCGGACGCGGAGAGCTCCGTGTGGCAGTGGCTGCACAAGAGCGGCTACCGGTGCTACGATGAGGACGCCAGCGGCCGCATCGAGAGCGCCTGGCGCGGCGGCGAGCCGAAGGTCACTCCTTCAGCGCCTCCCCTCGCCTGGCCGTCGCGGGTCCTCGTTGGTCGTCGGCAGCCCCTCCTCCTCCTCCTCCTCCTCCTCCTCCTCCTCCTCCTCCTCCTCCTCCTCCTCCTACTCCTACTCCTACTCCTACTCCTCCTCCTCCTCCTCCTCCTCCTCCTCGTCATCCTCCTCCTCCTCCTCCTCCTCCTCCTCCGCTCCTCCTCCTCCTCCTCCTCCTCCTCCTCCTCCTCCTCCTCCTCCTCCTCCTCCTCCTCCTCCTCCTCCCGCGCTTCGAGATGTGGCCGCTGCGCCGCCCCCGAGTCGCCCTGGACGGCCGCCGGAGGCCCGAGTTGTGCCCCGAGAGCTGGCCCCGTGCGGCCTCCCCCCGTGGAGGGGGAGCGCATCCACACGCTTGGGTTGCCTTACTATCGGAGGTGGACAGACCTCCTACCCTGACACGTCGATTGAGGAATGGGCCGTTTTCGGTTCGCGCGAGGGCGTCGCGGCCGTCAGTTTTGCGGGTCCAGGTCCGTCGGTTTCGGTCCCAGGCCGTTTTCACTGAGGGGAGGTCTGCTAAAGGGAGGTTTGTCCACCGCCGAACTTCGCCGAACTTCTGATTCTTGGAGAGTTCTTTGATTTTTGTTTGGGGGGGCAAGATCTTGTCATCTCTAATCGTTCTGTCCTGGGCCTCTTCCTGGCCACTGGGGGGCCAGGAACAATCAGAAACGAGCACACTTAGAAATGAGCACCCTTAGACATGAACGACGTGTAGGCGTGGACGAGGCAGAGCATTCACATCCCTGTACTCATGCACAGCCATTTGGACGTGACTCGCAACAGGTCTCCAGAGACGTACGCCTTACGAGGGGGCATCCGTTGGCAGGGAACGTTTTTTTCGGCAGCTGGTGAAACGCTGGCACCAAACAGGAAGCTGTGCTCGTTGACGGCAAGCGCTCAGGAGCAACTATGTACGTTCTGTAAGTCGCTCATGAGAGCCTCTAACCGTTCAGGGCCTCGCGCTTTGCCAACATCAATCCGGATCCCACCCTGGACAGCCCGCCCCAGGGGTGAGAGCACGAGCGCAAATGGGCGCATTGACCGCGTGAGAGTGGCTCTCTAGCAGGAGCTGGTGAAACAAAAAACCGTTTTTGATCTTGGGCCTGGGTATGGCATTTATCTCCGACGCTTTTTGTTCAAGACGTCCCCAAGCCGACCTCTGGCATCGGCCATGCACCACACATTATCTTTGAACCTCGTGGCAAGCGTAAGGGAGTCTTCCTACCACTCCTTTCTCACTTCACGAGGGCACTCCGAGTGCGGCCCATGTAGCAAGAGAACTACAACACTAAGGGCTGATGCGCGGATGGTGACGCACAAGAGCCTGGGGACAGCATGCAAAGCTCTAACCATGTTGCTAGAAAGTTGCAGCGAATGTCGAACGTTAGTACCGTACGGCGTGGCATGAGACACCCGAAGATCACACCCTAAGTGTTCCTTCTCTCGCTGCCAGGAGGAAAACACACCGAGCCCTTGCCCGACACGGCAGCTCTCGGGGTTTGCAGTCTCCTGGACCCCAACGAACAAAGTCCCCCTATAGCGAAATTGGGTGCGGACATGTGGTCCGTTCGTGTAGACCTTGGTTTCGTTGGTGTTGTTGCCATCGCGCGCCAACATGTCGTTAAAAGACGCGCCAAGGTGACACTTAACTCAATCGAGCCCTTGGCCGTGCCGCTGCTGGCAGCGTGCGTGGCTGATGGCCAGGAGCCAGGAGCAGCAAGAACACCGTCCAAAACATGTTGAACTGCGCGGGGAATGGCGGGCACGAAGGGAAGGTCTCCGAGTTGGGTAAGCGGGCACTTGGCATGCACGCTGGCAGGCGCAGAGTTGAGCCAATGCCACTCCATCTCTGGGCCAAGAGCAGTCGCTCAGAGGAAACTGGTCCGGTTGAGGGGGCAGAATACAGGAAGTAGGGGTCGCCGCACATCGAATCGGTGCATTCTTTCCATGAGTCACCCCCGTGCCGGCGAATGTGCGTGAAAGTGGTTGGCTGTAAATCGGGCCAAGTGGAGCATATGTCGAGTGACCCTAACGAGACCAATGTCAATGGCGCGCGGCACGGCTTTCTCAGTCACAAGGTCGATAGCCGCCAGGTCATCGAAGAAGAGAACGACCCGAGGAAGGCCCCTGAGGGTCAGGTGGATCTGCGCGAGCCGCAAGCCACGCGAGAACCCAAATGATACCCGGAAGCCCAAAGTGTGTGCTAGAGGCCTTAGCATGGTCAAGCCCACCATGTCAGTGTTGCGCGCGAGGCCCTTAACCCCTCCGAAGGTGACGACACCCTGAGTTTCGAGACTATCTTTGTTGCGACCACTATCGCAACACAGGTGCATTCAGACAACTCGGGGCGTTCATCCTGCAACGACCCGTCAGTCCATATTCTCACGTCATGGGTGAGGGAAGGGGCAGGTGGACCAACACATGTGGCAAAGCGAGTGGCAGGGTGCAGCGTAGCGGTTTTGAAGACGGTATGCAACTCCTGCTAGTATCCGTGCTCCCGTACGGTCTTGAAGGCAGCGCTGGACTTGTCCACGGGCAGGGTCACGCGGTCGATGTTGCCCTCCGTGAGAGCTTCAGCTGGGGCCTTCACCGATTTCAAGGCGAAGCGCAGGAAGCTTAGGGCGGCACTCTGGTGGGGCACTCTCCCTGTGCCAGGCGATGCGACGGAGTCCCTGCGCTCGCCCTCGGTACTTGACTGCGCACTATCACGACCAACGCCGTGCACGTCCCCGCCATGGCTTGGTCCCCGTGGCCCCTCAAGTGGAAGACAGCCTGCACGCCAGGCCGAGGTGCCCACGGAGGCTCCTGACCGACCGCACCGATGGGCACTCGGCGGCATGACTGTGCCGAGCTGGGGCGGGGCGTGCCGCCGGCCCGAGGCAGGGCGGCGGCGCCCCGAGTCTCTGCAGATGCTGCACACTGCTCGCAACTGCGACAGCTGCAGTGATGGACTGAGACATTAATCTCTTGCACAGCTGTGCTCTAGAGCTCGAACCTCTTTATTTTCGTTCGTGGTCGTCGTTCGTTCGTTCGTCGTTCGTCCTCCCCCCCACGGCCACCATCGTAAACTCCTGGAGGAAGGAGGCGAACGCCTCCTGTCTCTAGCAGCTCCTTGGTGCAAGAGCCAGGGCGCGCGTGCCACTTGTTATTCGGAAATTGGAGCGTAACATGACCAGTGGCGGGCTGTTTCTTGAATCCTATGACTTTTCGAGGGTCCGGGACGACGCTGGGGTGGTGTGGTGTATACTTTTTTCCCCGATGCCCCGGGAAAACGACGAAACACGTATACATCGGGATCCCGTAAACACCAGAATCCGCGCTCATGTGTGAACTTCAGCGCAGGGTCGGGAAAAGCGTCGGTGTATAGAGTCCGTTCAGTCCGTTCCCTTGGTTTCAGGAGGGGAAAAACATACAGACACAATTCATCGTCCATCCCCAGGAAAAAATAGGAACAGATGGGAAGTGGGGGGGAAGACGAACACCCAGAAACTATAACAACATATGGGGAATCCTTTTGTTTGTGTGCATTTATTTGTGTGTCCCAGGGCCCCATTCATGATTATGACCTGGCTGGCGGCGAGTCCCGATCGGGGCCGGCGTGCTCGAGTGCCGCGCGGCCACGCTGCGCAGCCGCCGCCGGCGTGGCCCGTGCCCGCTCGGCTCGCGCAGCGCCGGCGTGCCGAGGCCTCGGGCCCTTGGCGTCGACCCGGCGCCTCGACCACGTCATGGGGGCACCTCGCCCGCAAGGCACTTCGGCGTGCCACCCCTCGCGATCGTGCACGGCAGGACAGAGGAGGCGCTCACTGCAGGGGGGGCCGCAGGCGAACCCTACCCCTACCCCCCACGATTTCTGAGGGGGGGGAGGGGGTGGGGTTCACTTCGCTCGGGAGCTCCCGGACGCACCGAACCCCACCCTCCCCCTCAGAGATCGTGGGGGGGTAGGGGTGGGGCTCGCACGCGGCCCCCTGCACTGTCTCTAGCCCTCTTGTCGCGCGATCTATCAGCCGCGCGTGCTCGCAGGTGCGCCGGGCGGCGGCCTGCTCTCCTATGGCAAGCTCCCCGGAGGCAGCATCTGCCTGGGACGGAGGGTGGGCACGAAGGAGCCCCATCCCGGTTGGCCACATCATGGCTGGCGCGCGAGAGCCTCGGGGCCCCACGGCCCCGCTCGATGCTCCTCCTCCTCCGCCTCCTCCTCCTCCTCCTCCTCCTCTCCTCTCCTCCTCTCCTCCTCCTCCTCCTCCTCCTCCTCCCCCTCCTCCTCCTCCTCCTCCTCCCTCCTCCTCCTCCTCCTCCTCCTCCTCCTCCTCTCTTCCTCCTCCTCTCCTCTCCTCCTCCCCTGCCAGTCGACCACCTCGTGAGCGTTGGCAAGGCCCGGCTCTTCAAGCCTGCCCCGAGGGCGAGGCAGCAGAGAAAGACCCCAGGAGGAGGAGGAGGAGGAGGAGGAGGAGGAGGAGGAGGAGGAGGAGGAGGAGGAGGAGGAGGAGGAGGAGGAGTAGGTAGTAGGGAGTAGGAGTTAGGAGTAGGAGTAGGAGGAGGAGGAGGAGGAGGCGGAGGAGGAGGAGGAGGAGGAGGAGGAGGAGGAGAGAGGGAGAGAGAGGAGAGAGGGAGAGGAGGAGGAGGAGGAGGAGGAGGAGGAGGAGGAGGAGGAGGAGGAGGAGGAGAGGGACGTGCGCACGCACGGCATCGGAAGATGCGCACGGCGAGTGGGCGCCCGAGCGATGGCGTCCGCACGCCAGGAGGGCGGCACGCCCAGGGCGGCACGCGCGAGCGGCGCGCCGCGGGCGGGCGCGCCCTTGGCGCGTGCAGGCCCCCGCCCCCGAGCGCTCGATGCTCTTCGCTTTTGCCGCTGCGGGGCCGCGTGGCGGCCCCGGGCGGCCTCTCGGTGGGCGGGTCCGCTCCCTGGGGCTGAGTCGGGCCTGCTCCACTACTAAAGGAGGAAGGGTCCAAGCACAGTTTAGAAAGCATCGTCGGCGGACGATTCCTTGACCCTGTCTGAGCATCCTGGGAGCAGCTTTGGCCTATTTTTGATGTTTCGCCCCAAACCCCCCTTGTGGGGGGACGGGCCCGGCCCAATCCTTGGGGCGCCCGGCTGCGGGGAGCGGCCGCGTCGCTCGAGCGGCCCACGGCCGTGCACCGTCTCGCGCCCAGGGCCCGTGGGCGCGGCAAGAGGCCGCACGCCGTCGGCCCATGGCCAGTGCGGTGGGCGGCCCGGGGGCGAGGAGGTCGGTGGCGTCGGCGCGTGCCCAGCGGGGTTCGCGGTGGAGCGTTGCTCTGCTCGACGGGCGCTCCTGGGACGTCTGTCCCGCCCTCCTCGTTCTCTCCCCCTCCCCGTGCCATTCTTCGCCCAGCCTTTTTTCCCTCGCCGTCGTCGTCCCCCGCCTCCTTTCCTCCCGGTCTGCTTCCTGCGTGTCTCGTCCCCCGTGCTGCTCCTCTTCATTCACTCCCCCCTCCTGCCCCTCAGAATCATTCTCCTCATCCTCCTGGTTGCACTGCCGCTCATGCTGCTTCTCCTGTTCTCTTCTGTGACCTCTCCTGCGCCGATGCCCGTGGCGTCTGAAGAGCGTCCTCCTGCTCCTCCCCTGGCTCCTCCTCATGAGCCTGCTCCTCCCCTGGCTCCTCCTCCTGCTCCCCTAGCTCCTCCCCTAGCTCCTCCCCCAGCTCCTCTGCCCCCTGCGTGCCCTCTCGGGTCTGCACCTCCCGTCTGCTCCGATGCATTCCCCAGCGCGGCTGCTCCCCCAGGTGCGGCTGCGGTCGGGGAAGTGCGGGAAGAGGCCCATGGAGGTCTTCTTCGCCGACATGGTCCAGCTGGACCCCCTGACGGGCAACTCCCGGAGCGTGAGGCGCGTCGGCCGCGAGAGCCTCTTCAGGTGGACAACGCGGAACTTCAACATGGTTCGGAAAAAGCTCAGCAAAGGGCAGATGCGCTGGGAGACCTCCAGCGAATACCGCAAGAGGCAGATCAATCGGAAGCAGAGTCTGGAGGACGCGGAGCAGCCAGCTCTGGGATATGCGATGGTGCGCGGTTCTCAGATGTTTAAGAGCAGCAACCTCGCAAGCAGATCACTGATGAACGTCCGTGCCAAGCGGCAGCATATTGGATTATGGTGTGGACGCTTGTTGCAAAGCCTTTTTTGGAGGTTTCTCACCTCCCTTGTGACCGCCACCAACGTCCTGTGGATTTTCTGGATGTCAGAGCACTATCCGGGTAAGCTATCGTTCGGGTACCCAGCCGGAGTGTTCATCACCGAGACGTTGTTCATTGCTTTCTTCTCTGTAGACTTGATGGTCCGACTGCTGGCATACAAAGACGCGACGTACGCGCTCCATTCCAGCTGGTTCCGCAAGGATGCGTGGGTCGTGCTGGCGAAACTGTTTGACGTGCTATTGTTCCCCATTCTGTACTCGCTCCGTTCTGGCAGCGCCCAGTCGGACGTGGATCCGGACACGTTGTGGTTCTGGCTGGGCCTGTTCGTTCGCCTGAGCACGCTGCTGCGGGTGGAGCGCCTCTTTCGGATCTTTCCTCAGGCCTCGGGACTTGGCAATGCCATCGTGTCTGGGCTGGAACATGCCGCGATCATCATCCTGATGATGGTCGGCGTGGGCTTTGGCTTCGCTGTGCTGCTGAGGACAGGCGTCAGGCACTCCGACATTGTGGAGCTGTACTTTCCGACCATGACGGACACGTTTCAGACGCTGCTCGTGCAGGGCCTCTTCTTCGACGGAGTGCTGGACTACCTAGTGGATTGCAGCGACGATTTCGTCAGCTATTACGGAATTCAGAGGAGGAAAAGGTACCCATACGTATACCCTCCCCTCGTTTTCCCCTCTTTGGGCCTCCTGGGCCTCCGTCGTCGCCACCGCTGGATTCGCCCCGAAATCCTGGTCAGAACGCACCCCAGGAGAGATCCGAGGAATAGCGGTATCGGTACATTTTGGTTTCCCCAGGAATGATTATGTGGATCTTTGTTGGTCAGTATTGCTTCTTGAATTTGCTCATTGGCGTGTTCTCTAGCGCAATCGCAGAAGCCGCAGCCGAGCAGGCTAGAGCTCGGGAGACGTCGTACCTCGAGAGGAACCTGGCTTCCATCCTGGAGTGCTACCTCGACGAGTCGCCCGGGGCCCAGCCAGCGATCGGTACTTCAGGACAGTTGCATTTGGATGGATCGAGCCTGGACAGGAACGATTTCCACCTGATTCTGGAGAACCTGGACGTGCTCGACGTGCTGAAGGCCTCTGGCACCGACATCGAGGGGCTGGAGTCCATGGAGCACGTCTTGTTCCCGCGAGATGGCAGCCGGCTGAGCATCCAAGATTTGTATGAGGCCAGCCTGTTGCACCTCATGTTCTTGCGTCCCATCTTACATGCTCTCCCGTCTCTCCGCCTCTTCTCCCCCTTCCCTCCTTCCTCCTATCCCACCCCTCTCTTGCTCCACGATCTTGTCGTCTACGCTCTCCCGACTCCGCTCCCTTGCCACATTTCTCCACTCCATTCCTAGCCCGAGAGGGGGGAACAGGGTGGAGGATGGAGGAAGGGAGGACGAGGAGGAGAAGGGAAGAGGGGAGGCGGCAGGCGGCGGCGGTGTTGGGGAGATGATCACATGCCATTGCAGTTCAGCTCGGCCCGCATCAAGTCCAGCTCCGTCGAACTCGGCCTGTCTTCCTCCAGATCCGCTTGCTTAGTCTTGGGCTCGGCCCAGCGCAGGCCACCCCCCGCCCAGCACTGCCAAGCTCAGGGCAGCGCTGTCCAGGTCATCCAGGACCCAACTCGGTGTGATCACACGCAGGCGAATCGAAGTGTAAAGGCTCGTTCTTCTCGGGCTTGGCATTTGCTCGATATCCTCGTGCGCAGACGTCACCGCCGCAGGTCCTTCTGCGCCTCCGCAAGGGTAAGCCTGCCAGCGTGACGGACGTGGTCAATCTGCGGGAACTCGTCCGCCGTCAACATGAGAGGCTCAAGGACCATCCTCCCATGCCCTCTCTTCATTCTCATTGCGTTTTTTTCATATTCCTCCCGCCCTTGATTCCAGCCCCCTCCCGCTCTTTGTCTTTGCTTCGCTCGTCCTCCTCCTCGTGTTCAACCTGGTTCAGTATGGCCCTTCTCTTTGCGTTCCACCTCCTCCAGTCGAAAAGTTACGAGTGTCCTGTTCAACTGGAGCTCCCGCTGCAGCGTTGGCCTCATTTCAGGAGTGGCGCTTTGTTCCCATCGTTCAGGATGGCGCTCTCGCTCGATCCGAGTCCAGTCCACCGCCTTCCCCTGTTCCTCCTACTCCTGCTTCTGCTGCTGCTGCTTCTCCTCCTCCTGGCTCTCCATTCCAGCATCGAAAGCGAGAAGGCGAGAAGGCAAACCCCCAATCATTTTCCGTAGGTGTTGGAAGGATGTTGCCATCTTGGGGGCCTTCTTGGGAAGCTCTGTGGCCACCGGGGGCTCTGTTGGAGGTGTCTTGGGGCTTCTTGGGGACATGTTGGTGGTCATCTTAAGCCGTGTTGGGATACGTCGAGCAACATTGGAGGCCATCTTGGGCCCTCCAGGGTCATCTTGGAGCCGTGTTGGCCCAGCAGCCTCCCAGGGATGCCCCCGAGATGGGAACAACTTTGAAACACAGACGGTTTCTTTCTTCTTGGTTTCCTTCGGGGATCATGTGTTAAACTTGGAACGATACAGGGGAGATTAGCATGGCCCCTGCGCAAGGATGACACGCACACATCGAGAAGTGCATACATGTCGTTGTCATACCAATCGTCTCGTTCTGATATTGGCTTAGAGCGAAGGGTGGACCCCTGATGCCCCTTTTGAGCCCCACAAGGTCGTCTCCAGGGCCTTCCTCGGGCGCTCTTGGAGCGCTTCTGGGCGCTGTTTGGGCCGTCTTGGAGCAATATTGAGCCCCTCTTGGAGCTCCCTTGGGCCTTCTTGGAGTAAAACGTGGATTACCCTTCGGCTTTGGAATGCTCCGTGGCCACTTTGGCCCGTCCTGGAGCAGCCCCGGGGCCTGGTGGAGCATTTTGGAAACCATCTTGAGCGATCTCGCGCTATCTTGAGCTACCGTAGAGGCCGTCTTGGGCCCTCTGCAGAGCAATATTCGGTCATATTGGATGCTCCAGTCGGTCGCCGGGCGCCCTGTCCAGACCTGGGAGGCGGGATGGGGGTCAGATCAAGCTAGCCCCCCTGAAGGACGGCCGTCTCGCTCACTCCCACCCGCCCTCTCGCCACATGAGTAGCACCCAATTCTCAGCGTGGGCAGGGGCCACCATTCACGTGACAGTCCTCTCGAGCGAATGCAATCGCCAGCCAAAGGCGCGACGCCCACGAGGTGCGACGCGCGTGCCAGGACACCCCCATCATCCCTGCCGAGTAACAATGCAACGTGATCGCGGGGCGCCCGCGAATGATCTGGGTTTTGTCGCACAATTGATGTTGTTTTTTGCAGGGATGATGGGCCTTCGCAACAGCATGCGTTATGCCGCCCTTCCCCGCTTCCTCGTCCCTGTAAAATTAAGAATGCGAAGTGATCGCTAGGTGCTCGCGCATGATTCAGATTTTGCCACAAAGTGCAATGCGTATTGCTTTTGACATGGTGGGGGAGTGTTGTCATGGTTCCCTGTTTGCCCCCAGTCAGGTGGGGGAGGGGGTGTATATCAAGCTAGGTGCGCTCGCGTCATATCTGACTTCCTACCCCTCCCTCCCATCCCTCACCATGCCGTAGATCTCATCCCCATTCGCACAGTCGGCTGTCGAGCAGGGCAATGATCGCGAGAGGGTTACGCGATGCATGGTAGAGCACGGCATGGCATGGCGTAGAAGGGCACGGCAGAGCGTAGCCAGCCACAGCATGGCGTGGCATTGTGCAGTGAAGCATTGCATCACAAAGCATTGCAACGCAAAGCATGGCATCGCACAGCGGCGCATAACACAACACTGCACAGCATGTCATGGCATGGCTCCCGGTTCCTTGGAGGGTACGGAGATCGTCTTCGAGAGGTCTGGGCTGGTCTGGAGTCGTGGCTTCATGTTCAGCTCCGTGGGCTCCCCGAAAAGCTCCACACAAGGCTGGGCTGATGGAGAGCACCCGCTGGCTTTGCTTTCAACATCGCCTTCTCAAAATATAAACGGGGCTCCCGCTTGATACTTCCTGAAAACGACGACGCCCAGAAGTGGGGGGGGGCTTCTGCGGCCCAAACATCAACAATTCGACACCGACTGTGTAATCCTTTCCGATGGTTTTTCCGGGAGGCCATTTATCAGGTTTTTGGACCTAATTTGGAATGGCCAGAAACGCCCGCGCTGCAGCGGGAGCACGATTTGGAACAACCAGAGGCGCAGAAATGGGGCCAGCGCTTCAGCGGGAGCAAGATTTTGAACACCAAGCCCAAGCGAAAGCCAATTACCAGGGATTCCTGTGTGTAAAAGACAGTACGCGGAGGGAGACCAGATATCTTCCGGACGTCATCTGGGGAGAGGAGAGTAGTATTCATATTGTGTAAGTGTTATTCAGGAGCAGTGATCCCCCCCTGGAAGGGGAATCCTTGGGTTGGAGGGAGAAGCGCGCTAGGCCACTCAAACCCTAGCTGGCGGGAGTGCTTCCGTTTAGTCGCAGCGTCTCTCCATGTCAGCAGGTCGACGTTCAGCGCAATGTTCCTGCTCATCCTTGCGATTACTTGCGCAATATTCTTCATGTGTATGGCCTTGCGGATCTCAAGTGTCGTGAGCCGGATGGCCTTCATGCTGTCTGTTGATCGCGTCTTGCCTTGCAGGCGGCCAAGGTTTGGTTTCAGCGACGACAGCGCTCACACTGCAGAGGTGCGGGAGGAGTACCGCCGCCAGCTTTGCCGACGGGGCCCCGTTTATCCACTCGCTGCGAACGATCGGGTGCAACGGCAGCCGTTTCCTGGTGGTCGTCGTCCTCCTGGCCATACCCCGGCAGACGCTCCAAGTGCTCGTCGGCGCGGCCACCGCTACCGCACCGCAGCGAAGGTTTGGAGAGGTAGCAGCCGCTAGACTCGCTGATTTTGGGGGGGCCCAGCCGTTGTCCCGTTTCTCATGTTGCTTCGGACTCTGCCGGTGACTGCGTGAATGAGGCGGCGTAGGGCTTCTGTCTCAGCGCGGCAGCGGCGGGGAGGTTGTTGCCAGCCCCGCTGATGCCGCTTCTCCTGTTACTGCTGAGAACGCACCTGATCGACCAGCAATGCCACTGATAGTCGCTATAGCTTCTAACTGCGGCCTGTTCTCTGGACATGGCCGTGCAGCTGCTCAGTGTGAAGCACGGCCATGGTGCCCAACCCCCCCGCAGGATGGATCACATGTCAGTTTTTTGCTTGTTTATCTTAAATGGCTTCCTACATCTCCAACCTCGAAATCAATCGCAAGTTTTTCACGCGACGTGGCGGCGCCCAACGACCCCACAATTTCAATGTTCGCGCCGACCTTGGCGACTGCAGGCGCAAACATCTGACCCCGGGGGGCCGCGCGTCGCGCGTCGACCAGCATCGCAAAAACTTGCGCTGGAGTTCCGCGTCGCGCGTCGGCCAACATTTGAAGGCTCGCGCTTGACTCCGCTTCGCGCGTCGACCAACATTATGATGGCAGTATGTTTGATCTCGAGGAGGGCTGTAGCTGCGGCCTTGGGGAAGGACGGCTCGTCGCAGCTCGGATGCTGCCCTCCCCGAGGAGCGCTGCAGACGGCCAGAGAGGAACGGGCGGAGGCGCGGCCCGCGCCGAAGGCCGGGGCGGCGCGCCTGCCTCCCCAGGATTGCGCTGGTCGGAGGCCTGGAGGCCGACGCCAGCACCTTATGTCGGCAGTGTGCCTCCACCGAGGGATGATGATCCCCTATCTTCGGCGGCGAGCGAGGGGGGGGGAAGTGAGAAGGAGAAGGCCTTCTCAGGAGGCGGCGGGGCTTCTCAGACGCCCTCGTGCCTTCTGAGGCGTTTTTTTGTGGTCTTCGGACAAGGCTCAGAAAACTTGTCAGAAAGCCGGGAACCCTCCGAACCTTCTGAGAAGGCCTTCTCCTTCTTGCTTCCCCCCCTCGCTCGCCGCCGATATCTCGGTGATGGTGGTAATAATCGGGCTTCCTGGGTGGCCGAAAGATTGCCTACCACTGGCACCAACATCTAGAATCGTCTCCCCCTGGTGGAGGCAACCTCCTGTGTTGGTGTTGGTACCCATGTCCAAGTCTCCAGGAGCCCGCGGGCTGCGCCTCGGGTGGCTCGCTGATGGCGCCTCGCGTGCGTGGCTTTGTGGCAAGCAGGCTGGCCAGAGAAGCGGGCCCCGGCAGCCCCATCTCGTGGGGCAGGGCCCACGCCGAGGACCAGGGCGCGCCTGCCCCTGGATGAAGCCCGAGGGCTCCGCCTCGGGCGCCTCGCAGAAGGCGCTCCTCCGCGCGCGGCTTTGTTGGCAAGCGGACGGGCCCGGAGAAGCGGGCCCCAGCGGCCTCGACTCCTCAGGGCAGGCCAGGGCCGCGCGACCCTGGCGGGGTGCGGGCCGCACTCTTCTAACCATCCAGAGGGAGCCCGGCGGCGAGAACGGGTGACAAACAGAGCGCGGAGGAGGAGGAGGAGGAGGAGGAGGAGGAGGAGGAGGAGGTGGAGGTAGGAGGAGGAGGAGGAGGAGGAGGAGGAGGAGGAGGAGGAGGAGGAGGAGGAGGAGGAGGAGGAGGAGGGAGGGAGGGAGGGAGGGAGGGAGGGAGGGAGGGAGGGAGGGAGGGGGGAGGGGGAGGGAGGGAGGGGAGGGAGGAGGAGGAGGAGGACAGGAAAGGAGGAGGAGGAACAATCAGAGAAAAAGAGGAGGAGGGGAGGAGGAGGAGGAGGAGGAGGAGGAGGAGGAGGAGGAGGAGGAGGAGGAGGAGGAGGGAGGAGGAGGAGGAGGAGGAGGAGGAGGAGGAGGACGAGGTGGAGGAGGAGCAAGAGAAGGATGGGAAGGAGGAGGACGAGGTGGAGGAGGAGCAGGAGGAGAAGGAGGATGAGGAGCAGGGGGAGGAGGAGGAGGAGGAGGAGGAGGAGGAGGAGGAGGAGGAGGAGGAGGAGGAGGAGGAGGACGGGCCGCATTGGCTGTGCCGTGCGGCGCACCGCCCTTGGTGCCAGGGACCCCGCGCGACGCCAGACGGGGGCCCGGAACGCAGAAGGTCTAAGAACAAACGGCGCTGGAGCCCCTGGGCGGCGCCTCTGGCTCCGCCCGGGAGGAGGGGTCACCGCCCATTGAGGAAAGAAGTCCTCGCGGACCTTCAGAGATGATGCTTATGCAGAGTTGTCGTCCTCTACCTCAAAGGGGGGGAAAAAGGTACCGATGCCGCTGCGCTTCGCCCGTGTTCTTCTTTCTGCTCGGCCTCATGGGAGGCCCTCGTCGCCACCGCCGGATTCGCCTCGCAATCCTGGTCAGAACGCACCCCGGGAGAGGTCCTGTGAGTAGCAGAATTGTTACCTCTTGGTTTCCCCATCATCGTGAAGTCGGGCATGTCCCCTACAGGAGGAAGGTTCAAAAGTAGTCAAACATAGTCAGGGGTCGACTTTTCTACTATGTTTCGCTATGTTTGGATACTGTTTGATAATCTCTTATTTCTCGTCCAAAATCCGCCTGTAGGAGGATCTGCCCGACCCAACACTATCGTTGCGCGCTGTTTCGCAGTGCTTCTGCACACGAAAGGTGCCCCACGGAAGGTTCTTGACCCTCGATGGCCCTAGGAGCCCACAGAAGCTCTGGGGAACCTAAGAGCCCTCAGAGGTCGACGAAGAACATGCTTCAGGCTTGGCTGTCTCGATACATCCGTTTGGAAACGCAGCACGTCCCGTGCTTAACACGTCCGTGCCAGTACGTTGCGTGTTGGCTCATCGTATTGGCCCACGTCTTGGCGAACCTATCGCGTCAGACCTGCGTGTTCAGTCTACGTGTTGAGCTCCGTATCAATGCACTACGTGTCGCGTGTTGCGCACCGGGGCACAAGTCTGGGGCACCTCGGCTCTCTCAGTGGTCGACGAAGGAGATACCCCAGGATTTCTCATGCCAAGGTCTCTTGTCGTAAAGGCTGTGGCTTGCCACCTGCGGCGGGCGAGCGATTCTGTTGACCAGCTCGGCAAGCTTTCTCCAGGACGGCCGCGGGCCCCTCACTGTGCTCGCGCTGGCGTCTGCTTGCGCGCCGCCCCCCAGCTCAGAAGCTCCAAAGCCACCTCCTCCTCCTCCTCCTCCTCCTCCTCCTCCCCCTCCTCCTCCCTCCTCCCTCCTCCTCCTCCTCCTCCACCTCCTCCTCCTCCTCCTCCTCCTTCTCCTCCTCCTCCTCCTCCTCCTCCTCCTCCTCCCCCTCCTCCTCCTCTCAAGCCAGCTTCCCGCCTTCTCGTCGGCGCTTAGGGGACACCAGGACAGTTGGACAGTGGTTGCGAGCTGTTGTATCGCAGTTGCAATTATCAGCCCTTCCCGGTGTCGAAGGGAAGCGAATTTCACTGTCAGTTACGGTCAGAGAGTGTAGCAAGCAGTAGCAGAAGACCCTGTCGCGGTCAGGGGTGCAGGATCTTAACGTCAAGAGGTTGGCAGGCGGGCTCATCAGTTACAACGTTGACACTGTGATCGGGCTTCGTCAGCTTCAGTGCCAATTTCTCCCACTGCGGCATGGGAAGTGGATTGCCTTGTTTTGCACGCCCAGCAGGAGCCAGGCCTCATCAACTGCAGTTGTGGATTATCCCGTCTCCGCCCGGGGAGGATCTTGCAATTCGTTTCTGTTGGCGTGTCTGGTGGCTTCGTATTGTTGTCTTTGCATTCCGGGCTCTGGGCCTCATCATCTACAGCGCTGGAATCTCCCGTCGCCGCCAGGGGAGGGCATTGCAATTCAATATTGGTGGATTTTGTTTTGATCGTACACTTTGCCTTTTGGGCGTGCCAGGAGTTTGGCATTTACTCCCTCTGTGCTTGGGCATATGGTTTCTCAGAGGCCGTGCGTAGTGCCATGGCAATGTGTATTTGCAGTCCTTGTGCAATGGCAGGTTTGGAGGAATGATGTTGTGCCTTGGGTATGGGAATTTGGCGAGGCTGTTTGTGGAGGAGGCGAGCTCAGTAACCGTGCTGCTTTCGCGAGCTTGTTCGGGGAAACATTTGCCCAGTGACCAGTGGTGTTTGCTCATCTGTGGCAGGGCCGTATCGAGCCGACTTCACCTCAGTGTGACCTGCTCTTGTTCTCAGTGTGCGGTGAGGGATTCATCAGAGGTGTGCGCGGCAGCGGTCGTCTTCATCTGGCTCCTGTATTCCCGGTCCTTCGTCCTCTGGTTCGGCTATTCCTTGTTCGTGATCAGGGGGCGGCCTCAGGATGTTGTGACGCCTCGTGTATGTTCCGATTCCGATTCCGATGATTCCTCCTCCTCTTCCTTCGCTTTCGTTTCTTCCGCCACCTCGTCCTTCTCCTCCATTCCTTTCCCTTATAAGTAACGTCTCCCTCTCGCGCCCCGAGGCTAGTTTCTAGGGTGGGCTGGGCGTTTCGGAGCTTAAGCATTGGTAACAGTTTTGCAGATGGAGGGCGGTCGTTTTCAAAATATGGTTCCCGCCGTAGCTCCGCGCGCAGTCTTTTTTTAACTTGCACGAGTTTCGCGGATTGAGGGCGAGTGGTTTTCAACCCGAAGAAAAGGGATTCACGGATTCCCATAATCAGCGTATCAGAAGCGGTGTTTTGGAAGGATGTAGGATTATGAGGGTGCAACAGTTACGTGGATTCGCGGTGTTGAAGTCCCAGGAATGGCGTTCTGGCGCGATTCAGGATCGTCAGGGCGCAACAGTCAAGTGGATCCGTGGCGCCGGAGTCGAAACCAATGTTTTGGTATGCTTCAGGGTCTTCAAACAGTTGCCTTCCAACGAGGCAGTTCCGTCAGTGGAAACGAACCCTTGCAGGGGCCTATGGGGAGGGAACTCTGAGGAAGGGTTTATTCTAACATCGTGGTTGGTTCTTGGATTTACGATTGGTCCTCCTCCTCCTCCTCTTCCCCCTCTTCCTCCTCCTCCTCCTCCTCTTCCCCCTCCTCCTCCTCCTCCTCCTCCTCCTCCTCCTCCTCCTCCTCCTCCTCCTCCTCCCTCCGCCACAAGCTCCGGGGTGCTCCGAGGGCCTGGCCGAGAGGGCCGCCGAGAGGGCCTTCCCTGAGCGCCGTTGGGCCACCGCGGAGCTTTTCTGGAAGCCCCCCTGCTCCTCCTCCTCCTCCTCCTCCTCCTCCTCCTCCTCCTCCTCCTCCTGTGCCCAGGAGCTCGTCAAGGGGGCGCTGGGGCACGATGCCGCGCAAACCTACTTTGTCGGCGCCTCGGAGCTGCTCAACTGACGCGCTGCTGACGCGCCCCTGCCGGGCCATCGCGGGGCTCGCGGGCAGAATCGGCCCCGCCAGCGCTAACGGGTGGCAGGCCCCAGGTGGCGTTCATGCGGTCTCACCGAGCGGCGGTGGCAGAGACCTCGCCATCAGTTGTTCAGTGATCGATCGGTTGGCCAGTCTGTATTTTCATCTTCCAAGGAGTGGGATGGGCTCCAGGACCATCGGGCCAGCAGGAGGACAAATGGGTGAGAAGGGGAGGGGGTCCTCCACTCCGCCTCTGCACCTCCTTTTCTTCCCTCTTCTCTTCTTGCGCAGGAGGAGGAGGAGGAGGAGGAGGAGGAGGAGGAGGAGGCCTCCCATTGATTGAGGGTTGCGAGCGATTTGGGCATGCTCGCTGTTTCTGGCTGCCGACACCCAAGACCCTCCCGAGGCTTGCAAGATCGCCCTACGACAGACCAAGCGGCTTCCGAAAGCGCCCAAGGACGGCCCAATAGGGTTCCAAGATGGCCAAAGATGACCCCAGCATTGCCCCAAGAACTTGTCCAAGAAGGGCCCCGAGAATGCCCAGGAAACTACCAAGACCACATGAAAAGCGTTGTATACGGTATTGCACCAGAGAAAATATCCAATCAGCCAATGGTTTGGATATTAGTGATATGCACATTGGGATCGATTGTGAGACCGATTGTGAGATCGATGATAGTAAGGTCGATCGTGAGACCGACCGTGAAGTCGATTCAGTGAGATCGATAATGAGATCGATCATGAGATCGTTCGTGCGATCTATGGTGAGATCGATCGTGAAATCGATAAAGAGAGGTGGGTAGTGAGATCGATGGTGAGACCGATCGATAAGGAGATCCACCAAGAACTTTGGAACCCGGCAACCCGGGAACCCCGCCGCCCACCGAAATCGGCCCGGAACCAGCAACCGGGAACCCAGGAAGCAGGAGCCGGGAACCCGGGGATCCGGCCGCGCCCCGAAATCGGCCAGGATGTTTCGCCAAATCTTCAGCATCCGCTAGGACCCCTTCAGTGCAATCACTGATTTGGGAATATACTGCAGATTTCGAAATAAAGGGAGGGGGGTCTCATTTCGGGGGGGGTCTCTTCCAGGCTATCTTGGAGGGCCTGGGGGATCTGGGGACGATGTTTTGGAGGGTTCTTCCACGGGGGAGGTCTGAAATGGCTTGTCTTGGAGGGTCTAGACCCCCTCCCTTGTATTACGAAATCTGGAGTAGGCTTTCCCAAGCCAGCAAGACATCAGGGGAGAACGACGCAGCACTCACACGGCGCAACTGGTGGAGGAGACAGGGGCCTCAATGCGGGCTTCTAGGGGGCCTCTTGAGGGACCTCTGGGCCGCCTGGGAGGTGTCAGGGGCCGTCTTGGGGACCAGGGGGCCACATGCGAACCCTACCCCCACCCTCCCCCTCAGAGATCGTGGGGGGTAGGGGTAGGGTTGGTTCGCATGTGGCCACCTAGGGACCTCCTGGAGCCATCATGGGTCCCTCTCGAGCTGTCTCGGGGGCCCTGGGCTCTCTTTGGGGCTGCTGGGGGCGTCTTGGGGCCACCCTGGTGGCCGCTGGATCCAGCTTCGTCTGTCGGAAGCTCGCAATTGCGAGAACGCGCAAAACGTGTACACATTTGTTTGGATTCCATGCTTTTGACCTCCTGGAAATCCCTTTGGAGCCATCCTATGGGCGTGTCGGGGGCCTCATGGGTCGTCCAGGGGACATCGGGGGCCGGCTTGGGCCGCCTTGCGGCCATCGTGGGCTTTCCTGGGGGCATCCTTGCCTTCCTGGAGGCGTCTTGGAGGCTGTCTTGGGCCATCTGGGACATCTTGGAGGCATTGTGGAGCCATCTTGGACGGGGAAGCCGATGGAAACAATCTTGCACAGGTTGCCGGCGGGATGCGACGCAATGCTCCACTGGAAGCTTGTTGGAACTTGGCATCGCTTGGAAGTGTGCGTTTTTTTGGCTCGGCAAGGACCTTCGAGGAGCATCTAGGGCCACCTTGCGAGAAAACAAGCACACGCACGATACCGATAGGACCACCCTACGGGTGAAAAGGAGGTTTGGGGAGGGGGAGGGGGAGGCGGTCGACTTGCGATGGCTCCGGGTTCTTTGGCGTTGTTGTCCCAACTTTCCTATTGTCGCGCACATCTACCCATCTATCTATCGACTTATCTTTCGCAATATCTATTCCGGACACTCACCTATCCATCTATATATATACACATATATGCATATATGTATATATATATGTATAGTTCGATATGTCTATGTATATATACATGTGTCGACCTGCTTCTCCAGATGTCGGTGTATATATATAGATCTGCCTATCTATATATCTATATGTATACATGTATATATATATATATGTCTATATATATCTACCTATCTATCTATCTATATATATATGTATGTATATATATATGTATATATATAGATATCGATGTATATATATAACTATATCTCTATATATCTATCCATCTATATATAGTTATATATATCGATCTATGCATATATATGTATACATAGATCCATCTATATCTATCTATAGATCGACATATATATTTATATATATGTCCATATATCTATCTATCTATATATCTATCTATCTATCTATCTATCTATCTATCTATATATATCTATCTATCTATCTATATATCTATATATCTATCTGTCTATCTATCTATCTATCTATCTATATATCTATCTATCTATCTATCTATCTATCTATATGCATCTATATATCTATCTATCTATCTATATATCTATCTATCTATCTATCTATCTATCTATCTATCTATCTATCTATCTATCTATCTATCTATCTATATATCTATCTATATATCTATATCTATATATCGATCCATCAATCTATATTTCAACCATCGGGACATGCATCGGGACAACCATCGGGACGGTGACGATCGGGGCAATCATCGGGACAACCATCGGGACAACCGCAACCATCGCGGCAACCGCCGGGGCAACCACAACCATCGGGACAACCGCCGGGACAACCGCTGGGACAACTGTGGAGCCACGCCCGGCGCTCGGGGGCGGGGGGGGCCCGTTTGGCAATAGGTGGCCCCTACCAGTGCAGGAACTCGCGCAGCTTCGCCTCGCCCGCACGTACGACGCGAACCGAGACCCTCCTGGCCTCGGCCGGGCGGGCGTGTACACTATGCCAGGGCCAGGATGGCCCTGGCTTGGCACGGTGGTGGTGCATATGCGCCTCCTGCGTATATTCCTGTCGCTGCGCGGGGTGCACGTCCAGAAGCACGTTGCGGTTGGCTTCTGCTTCTGCTCGCCTGCCGCCCAGCCCAGTCGTCCTGCCCGGCCCAGGGCGTTGCCAGCGCCGTTTGGGGGGCGGATGCGCCCCCCCCCCCCCCAGGGCTTATTTCGATTCCGCAGGTTCGATTCGATTCGATTTCGATGGCCTCCGATTCCGATTCGATTCGACAGGGGATTCCGATTCGGATGCCGATTTTTTCAATGGAGGCCAAGTGACCTGCCGATTCCTGCCGATTCGACTCTCTTCGACTCGGCTGCCGATTTCCGCCGATCCGATTCATTGTAACCGCCGATCCGACTTATCGATTCGATTCTGGGCTCTCCTGCCCCCCTCCCTGCAGCGCGAGCGTGCGAATGAGCACGAGGGGCAACTCTCAGAGCCCCGAGACATCAGGGGGCAGTCAGAGGTAGCTACAGATCTGCACCTCCCGGGCCCAAGCCAGAGTTGCCCCGGACCGCAGTTATACCCCAGATAAATCGAGCGTCCAACCCGCCCGAATCATCAGGGCTGAGGGCAATCAGGGGGAACTACCGATGCGCTTCTCGGGGGCCAAAAATGGAGTTACCCCAGTTATCCTGAAGGTTCAGGCGTCCCCCCCTGAAGCGCAAGGGCGAGCGTGGGAATGTCCACGATGGGCAATACCAAGTTCAAAGCCCGACGATCATAGCAACAGTGCGCCATTGGCATACGATTCCGCGGGCCTCGTCGTGGTTATTGAGGAAGCTTGGGGGCCTCTTGGAAGCTTCTTGGGGGCCACTGGGGGCCTCTTGGGAGCCTCTTTGGGGCCTCTTGGGGGTCTCTGGGTCCGCCTCCCGGCGCTCCTGCGCCCTCTGGCCTCTTCGGAGGCCGCCTGGGGGGCCTCTCAGGGTTGCCCTCTGGCTCTCTTGGGGTCCTGTTAGGTCGTCGGGGGCTTCTTGAGCCGCCTTGCGAGCCTCGTTGGGCAATCGTGGTGCTTTCTTGGGCCGTCTTGGGGCCCTCCTGGGGGCCTCTGGGGCCGTTTTTTCTCGCCCTGGAGGCTGCTTGGGCCGTCATGGGCCCCCGAGAGTCGAAACAGCGCGATCGCGAACGTACAGTCGGGGCCCTGAAGAAGGAACCCTTTTCGTTGGGGAGGGGCTCGGCGTTCCTTAAGTGTTTCACAGCTTGCCTCAGGCTTTCCTTAATTATGATTTCGATCGGGAATCGAAGTTCAACTTATGGAAAAAAGGGGCCTCGTTCCTTGGGTTCCTTAACTAGGTCAACGCCCCTACGGTAGGTTCAAACCCATCGGACCTTCCATGGTGTTGTCCTGACCATCCTGTGGGGTTCGGCCCTCGTTTTGAAGAGACAGCGCCCTGCGTCTCCTGCCTCCCGCTGCGCCCTCCTCCCTCCTCCCATCCTTGCTTTTCCTGCTCCTCCTCCTCCTCCTCCTCCTCATCCTCCTCATTATTATCATAATCTTCATCGTGATCACCATCGCCATCATCGGCGTCATCAACATCGTCATCGTCAGCGTCGTGACTTTGTTCTCCGCGTGCCCACACCGGCAGACCCCTCACACGTTTCGTGGCCCCAGAGGGCACCGCCGCCCCATTTTGGCGCACCGCTCACACGGTCCGTGGCCCCAGAGGGAGCTCCACCGAAGGCCCCAGCGGGAGTGTCAGCATGGCACCGCCGTCCCATTTTGGCGCACCCCTCACAGGGTTCGTGGCCCCAGGAGGAGCTACA